GAACATACGTACAGACATACAGACAGACAGACATACAGACAGACAGACAGACAGACAAACAGACATTCAGCTTTATATATAAGATTGCACTTTTAGGAAGTCGACGTTACCTATCGCGAGCAGCGGAAGGCCATCACCCGCCATGGACGCATCCGCTCCTCGGCACTTCCCACGAATCCGGAGAACAAAGCTTTTTTGATGAATTTCGATTTAAAGAGCTCTAACCAAACGGTCCACACAAATACGATGAATATAGCAGCATAAATATTCTAAATAAGCGTGTTGATCAAATGGTGTATGTGGAAGTAAAATTCAGCGAGACTTTACAGATTCTATCAAACAAATTTTGTTATAGCGTACAGCGAAGAAAGTAGGTCGATACAGGAAGTAACTAGAACCAGAATTTCGATTGATAGAGGAAAAACCATGCGAAATTTCCAGTGTTATAAATCTGGTGGTTGTAGATGTCAGCAACTGCGACTTCATAAATTTTAAGATGTAGGTGTTGTTCTATCCGACAGTAAAAGAAACAGGTCGAATTGAACAGTGGCCGCCGAGAACGAGAATCTTAAAAAATTACGCGTACTTAGGTTGCTTAGTGACAGCTGACATAACTGCTAGAAATCTGGATTGTGAAGGTGTGCGATGTTGCGACTTCATAGGTTTTGTAGAGTAAGGTTCATCCTATCAGAGTATGTCTATGAGATCCAAGTTCTTGAAGAAGCAGATAAAAAGAGTTTTTTGAATTTTTTAACAGCTCATAACTTCTTCAGAACTGCATGATTCATGTTGCGACTTCATAGATTAGATTCTTCTTATCAAGTGTTTCAGATAATATATAATATATATGTGGGGGTTTACGGAGACTTTTCAACACTAATTCTCTCCCAGCCCACTTCAATGTACTGGATGAGACCGCCAGAAGAGAATTAGTGATGAAAAGTCTCCTCGCCGGGTTTAAGCCACAAGAAGCATCGATCCCTCACATATCATAAATCATCTGAAAGCTCCTGAACAGGAGAATCTAATCTATAAGTCGCAACATGATTCATGCAATTCTGAAGAAGTTTTAAAATTAAAAAACGCTTTTTTACCTGCTTCTTCAAGAGCCTGGATCTTAGCGCTGTTTCAGTGGATCGGTACGGCTAAGACATCTTTTGATAGGATAAACCTTACTCTACAAAACCTATGAAGTCGCAACATCGCACATCTTCACAATCCAGATTTATAGGAGTCATGTCAGCTGTCACTAAGCAACTGCAAAATTTTTTAGAATTCTCGTTCTCGGCGGCCACTGCTCAATTCGACCTGTTTCTCTTACTGACTGACAGGACAACATCTACATTTTAGACCCTATGAAGTCGCAGTTGCTGACATTACAACCACCAGATTTATAACAGTGGAAATGTCGCATGGTTTTTCGCTATAATATCATCCGAAATTCTGGTTCTCAGCAATTACTGCCTGGATCAACCTACCTTCGCAGTACGTTACAACAAAATTTGCTTGATAAAACACGTAAAGTCTATCTGAGTTTTACTTACAAAAACACCGTTTGATTAACACGTTTATTTCGAATATTTATGCCACTGTTCTCATCGTATTTGTGGCCCTAAAGAGGGCTGTTGGGGTTCTCCGAATTTGTGGGAAGTCTTGGGGCTTAGATGCTTCCATGCCAGGATGGCCGGTGCTCGCAGTAGGCGATGGCGAGTTTTTAAAAGTAAATTGAGTGAGAAAAAAGCTTTTAGTAACCTTTGAATTTGTTCTTCTTATTTCTCCTATTTATTAAGAAGAAGCTTATGAAACTTTTGAGAAGGATTTTTTTGCGAAAAGAGTGTCGAGCTGCGCTTCCCCCCTCCTCCCGGGTCGACGTTTTTGGGAGGTGTGTCCGGCACTACTACCTTCACTTTTCGCGACCAGTGGAGCTGAGACCACCTTCACTTTTGATGGGCCCGGCTCCCTCTATCGCACCTCTGATCTAAGTATCTAAGGCCCGTATGCACGTACATCCCCGCGGGGAGGGGATCTGAGAGGGGAAGCGTCATATTTCGTTACTCTGTATACCGTTCTTCTTCCTTCTTTTTCTGTGATATGAAGGTTCTCATACCCTGATACCTACGCACAGCGGTTCGTCGAAAATTTCGACATCCTGAGATTTCCCTTATTTCTACTATAAATATGTTTATCAGTACCATATTATATCCTCAGCAGAAATTTGGAACATTTTCATTGAATTTGTGGGAAGATAAATGACTTTGAAAATGAGAGGTAATCCCCTGGGGATCCCCAGGGGATCACACAAGGTTGTGAAAATCTAACCTTGTACGGCAATAACTTGGCATCCATTATGCGCAGGTATTACGTGAGAACCTTCATAACACAGATAAAGAAGGAAGACGAAAGATATACAGAGTAGCGAAATATGACGCTTCCCCTCTCAGATGCACACACATACTCTCCGATGCTGGGCGTTCCCTACGCTTTTCGTTATCGACGACGTCGATTTTATCAATTTTTTGCAAACTTTGAGCAACGGAGCTAAGAAGTGACACAGGGTTGATGACGAATGTGATATTGATGTGGAAGAAACCATTGCTTTTATCAACTTTGCAAATGTAGATAGAGTGAGTTCATACTGATTACAAAATCATAGTGTGTGCAGAAAACTGCGTATAGACTCGGCACAGCGACAAGGTAAGGTACAGAATCAAAAAATGATAGTGCCACACGATATAGGGTATGCAGCTGAATTTCCGTCTTAAACAAGCATCAAAACCAACGGACACTCAAGCTTTTCCACGAAATATTTGAGCCAGACTTCGTTTCTTAGCGACGTTAAGGTCGCCTGGAAATGACCTTGTGACATAACGCATGTGCGCTCCTGAAACCAAACCATAATTTGAAAGTTCCGCTTTCTTTGAACCTGGGCATAATTTGTATAGTAGAAGTGCTTCGGTGCCAGGCAGGTTTGCTAGGTGCTCTTTATTTCCAACTACGGCCTAACATTTCGATGCCTTTCGTCTTCGTCAGAGGCCTGAAAACGGCTCAAAGCGTTACCGCGAAACAATCATCAAGAACCATCTCCATTCCTGCCAATTCTCAACCTTCGTTCAACATTCCTATCGATAAAATTGCTATGCCAAAAGACGAACATACCCTATGAAATTTGCTTTTTGGCGTTCCGCACCGGAACTGATGGTCTTGGCGGATGGAATGGACTATACCATAAAAGCATATAAGTGATCTACATGCATGGAGATATGAAGGGAAGTCCGTGGTAATTGACAAATACTCATTTTTATTGTTCACTAGTTGGCTTTCCCGGTCCAGCACGGGTCACCGCTCAATTGCGAACCCCCTCCCCCTTTGGGTCCATAGAATGCCAGCAGCGAATATCTATGTTATAGCATCGATTTCTCGGTCCAAATATTTTCCAAAAAGTACTGCATGCTGTAGGTAAACAATGTCAACCAATACAGTAGCTATGTTTTCAATAGAATTCGTTTATTTGCAAATGCTGAGTATTTGCTAAAGCAACAAAATGTCGATTTTGAGTGCAGTTGTGCGCGATGTTGGTGAAATTCACACAGATGAGATAGAAGCTTAATTTCAAATTTGTTAGAAAGTACATGAAGAAAGCTTTTTAATGAATGCAGGATCTGATGGAAAAAGGAATTCTGAAGGAAAAAATTGTTCGGGAAGTAGGCCTAGAAAAACGCACACTATCTTCGCAACAGCCTAATATTTTACGTGCACAACTAAACGATTTGTTTTAGTCAAAATCCGAGGTGACAATATTCAAACGCAGTTAGTTCGAAACAGACTTTACGATCGGTGCTGTATAACAAATCGATGCGTGGTCTGTCTGCACGGCAGAATAGGCGATTGTACACAAATAGGGGTAGTATATATAATAATTAGAATGTCTTAGCTGCAACGCCATCTGTATGCGAGAAATTGGCACAACACTCACTCGCGTAAAAGAACATCTTGCGGATAAGAGGTGTAAACATTGTTTTCACCTCTAAGCAAACATAGCCATGATTGGTATGGGTTGTCAGACTGCCGCACTGACCGCAGCAGACTGCAGCAGACTGCAGCTGACCGCACTGACCACGGGGCCGCACAGATCGCTACATCCTTTCGTGAAGGTGGGGAGAATAAATAGTTGTAGCACAAACAGTCTCTTAACAATATATGCTCCAACAGACAACACGAGCGGGACTCAAATAGGTATATGCAGTGACAAAAGGAATCAGAACAAATATGAGCATTTTAGAGAAAAGCAATCGCCAAAATTTGATTGAGAAGAGTAAGTTAGGACCTAAGAGGTTTGTAGGCGTAAATCACGGTGTTTTGATGTATTCGCAACTATTTTCTCTTTTACGAAAGGATGCAGCAATTGTGCGGCCGTTGCGGTCAGTGCGGTCAGCTGCAATCTGCTGCAGTCTGCTGCGGTCAGCTGCAATCTGCTGCAGTCTGCTGCGGTCAGTGCAGTCAACTGCAGTCTGCTGCATTCAGTGCGGCAGTACGAAACAACCCTATTGGTGGAGACGATTTCGATATCAAATGCCAAACTTTGGCACATGAAAAGGAAACCTCGGCAAGGAAGGCATCATAAGCATTTTGTATTTCTGCGAAGAATCTAGCAATGAACAATAAAAATTAGTGTTAGTCAATTAAATTAACACGGACATCCTCCCCTTCATATCTCCATGCAGAGTGTAGATCAAGTGCTTTTATGGTACAGACAGTATTCACAGGGTATGCTCGTCTTCTGGCATAGCAATTTCATCGGTAGGAATGTTGAACGAAGGTTGAGATAGCAGGTTGGAGATGGTTGTTGATGGTTTCGTTTCGCGTCCGAGGAAGACGAAAGGCGTCGAAGCGTTAGGCCGTGATTGGAAATAAAGAACACCTAACAAACAGAAGGCACAGAAGCACTTCTACTAAACTCCCTCATTATAAATACTCACCGAACTTCACAAGCTCTGATTTCGGTTTGTATGGCTGTCACGCACGTGAAGATTTATCTCACAATATACGAAAACAAACATTTACGATATTCGCGTTGAAGAAGTGAAATTCTACAGTTGATTATTTACATAGCTTTGTCGAACGGCACAAAATTAATGCGTGTAACTTCAAAAGTTTTACGCCTTCTCTCCATTATAGAGAAAGGATGACGAAGAGCAGTGCGTGGGCAAAAGTAGGACAGATTTCAATGGTCCCGCAGCTTGTTCCGACTGTCTGATTGTGAGTGCGGCAGGCAGGAGAACGAGATAGTCGCTCTGGAATTGCAAAAGTCTAACCATATTGTTAGGCTACTTTTGCATGCCACTTTGATGAGGTGCTCTCGAACCTTCCACTAATGAACCCAAGCAGTTTCTCTAACAACCGTGTGGCAACTACCGTGATTTTACGACTAGAAATGCACGAAAATTTGGCATAAGAAAAGCCCAAGAGCGCATCGCAGATTTAGAAGGTACAGTCGAGTAGATTTCCTGCTTAATATAGTGTCCCTGCAGACGCGACAACGCTGGGGCGTCAATAAATGCCTTGCGAGTTCCCGAGGTAGTGTTTTCCAGTGTTTTCTTTGCTTACATGCTTTTTAGGTGATTCGTTGCTGATAAAGAACAAATGGGTAAGTTAGAGAGTAGTTCCTGTTTTCTGAGGAGTTCTATCATCGCATATTCACAGATATCCACGTGGAAGCAGTTCGCGTCAGCTTCTTGTCCATTTTTTTGTCACTTCAGGTTTCTTTCTTCTTGTGAGGTACTCCTTTGAACGCTAGTGGGTTTTTACGATTGACTTATTGTCTTTATCACATGAAGTACTTAATTAAAATGCTATTTCTTATGGATGAAAGCCGAAGTTGCTGCAAGACAAGCCAACTAGCGTTCAAAGAAACGCCTCACAAGAAGGAGGTTTGAAAGAAGAAGTGACAGAAGAAAAGGAGATGACAAAAAAGAAATAGACAAAAAGCTGACGCGAACTGCTTCCACGTGGATATCTGTGAATATGCGATGATAGAACTTCTCAGAAAACAGAAACTACTCTTTAACTTACCCTTTTCCTCTTTATCAGCAACGAATCAACTAAAAAGCATGAAATAAGCAAAGAAAACACTGGCAAACACTAGCTCGGGAACTCGCAAGGCATTTATTGACGCCCCAGCGTTGTCGCGTCTGCAGGGACACTATATTAAGCAGGAAATCTACTCGACTGTACATCTGACAACAGCGTTCAAAGCTCCTATCCATGGTTATACATCACCTTCCGTCATCAATTCGACCAAGCGAACCTCCTTATAAGTCCCAATTTCGTTCATCTAGTCCAGGTACGGCTGAGTGAGAACGCTGCCATTATTGCAAATTTTGCCTAAATCTGTTTCAGCAAAAAATCTCTTAGCATCCAATTTCAGTTTTACGTGAGCATATTAGTACTGATTTGACACAAAGGGACTTGCGTTACACCTCATTTTGAAAATTGGTAATTTCTCCCTATCTCAGCGCTTAACACAGATGCAAAAGACGGATATGAACAAAAGACGAACATAGGTTTTATGACCCATAAATTATCAGTGAAAAAGTGTGGTGGTATAACTTTCTGCAAAAAGATTTGCTTTCTGTGAGATTTTTTTGCAGCTTCTGCTAGTAATTAGATTGATCGAAGCCCGCGTATCTTCCACTATTTTCTCCTGCAATCAGCGTTCAGTACAGAGCCGCCAAGTTTATACTGCGAAACAAGTATTCTCTGTCTAACAAAAAATAGTATTAAGCAGCTTCGTTGAGATAGCGAGAAGTCACAAAAACTCAAAAACAAACGGAACGCTAAAAAAAACTTTCGTTCTGACCTTTCTACAGTCGAGTAGATTTGGCGGTAAATATAGTGTGCTTGCACAGAAGGTGAAATGCGGTGAAATTTGCGCGTGAACAAGTAGCCACGTCAGTACCGCGGGTATCTTGCGCGCGCAATTGGCCGGCGTCACAGTCGAAACTATTTCTTCACGCGCCAATTTTACCGCATTTCACCTTCTGTGCAAGCACACTATATTTACCGCTAAATCTACTCGACTGTACCTAACTAGACGTGTATTCTATTCTCTTCGCTCAAAATGATTTGCCCCTAAGCGCACTCTACCTTTGGTGTTCTACGTTGATCAGAGTGGAAGTCTGGATCAGGGTCAAGCGTGGGGTGGGCCCGCCACACCTGGGGGGTCGTAGAGGGGTCAGGAAGAGGGGGAAGGGGGGTCGCTATCGAGGTGATAGTGATGTTAGCGGCAGTATGTTATTCAACAATGTCTGATAGGCTCGTTGTACGAAATCCCAGCAATGTTTTGGCCTACCGTCGTACACGCACAGTAAGCATATTAAAAGAATTCTGAAAGCATAAGAGCACCGTTTTCGTAATTAGCATGTCAAATAACCCCTGAGGGCCATGTTTCAGCGAATGACGTTTCCAAATATTGGGACACTCAAGTGAGGTGATTACTTCCGACATGCTAACTTCCTCAAAAGTGAGTAAACTACTTCTTTTGGCACTCACTACAAGCTACTGCTACTTCTTTGCTAGTTTTAGGAACCCCACTCCAACTTACCTCCAAACTCTAGAATCAAGAGCGAGCCAAAATCTCGTTTGTCCCATTTTTCGCTTTCAATTTCTCAGACCAATCAGGCTCAAATTACTTTTGTGAAAGTTACGAGGATCAGGCTATCGAATATACTTGTTCTTTTCGCCTTCCCTCGCGACTCACGGAGTAGCGCAGACTTAGCATATTACCGTAATTTAACATTGGAAGCGAAAAATGGGACAAACGAGACTTAGGCTTGCTTCTAATTTCATAGTTTGATGGTTATTTGAAGCAAGATTCATAGTGTGGAAAAATAGGGAGTAGCGCTTTGTATTGAGTACAAAAAAACTCATCTAATTCACTCTTGAAATACAGTTAATCATCTTCGAAAATGTTCACTTCACTTGGGTGGTCCAATACTGAGAATCCTCAGAATTTGCTATAACTTGGCCTATGGTGATTATTTGACATTATTAGGTACTACGAATATATGCCTAACTATACATGGTAGAGCCTTTATGTCATGCCTAAGGAAGAGGAAATGGGGGAGGGGAAGGGGGGGGGGGGGGGATATTGAGACAGAAGGTATGTGGGGGGAGGGGAGGGGGTCGTATCCTGCGCTTGTCATACCTCTTGCTCAACTCTGGTCTGAACCAAAGCTGGCCCTATGTGACTGACGTAAGACGAGCAGCTTGACACCACTTGAGTCACGGCTTAGCTTTCATTTCTGATTTGAGTGCCAGTTATATGATTCATAATGAGCATCGAGCTATTATGACATCAGTGAATCACCTCCGCTTCGCGAATGTTCGCAATGGCTTTCTTATGCGTATGTCTTTCTCGGGCTCCCATAATGACTTCAAAACTCACTGTGCTTGGCTGTACATCACAAATGAGTTGTAAACAACTGTTCATTTTTGAAGCATCTCCATGTAAAATCGGCAATTTTGAGAAAACTTTTTTGCCGTACAAATGCGAATTCAAGTAGATTACTAAATTTATTTTGGCTTGATAATCCTCATAATGATAACATTCATTTTAAGCTATATTTCCGTGCAAAATTTTCAGTTTTTAGGCGAAACCTTGCCAAATCGACGCTACGCGATCACTATTTTTGGCGCTGTTTTCGCAGAAAGCAAATTTTTGAGCAATTTTTGAGCTAGATTTCTTGGAGCGCAGATTTACCTGTCAGCCAAATTATAACTCTGGAAAAAGTTGAATTTGTAAACTAATTTTGCGTGGACCCCTTTGACGCGCAAATTTCGAAGGACCCACTCACTCATCGAACCGGCTCGTCATTGTGCACGGTGGGCCTACATGCTGATACGGTGTGTTATGCAAATTGCAGCTCGATAGCTTGCTCCAGTACTTCGATGAATTTCGTGACAGACAGATATAACACACACGCACAAAAAGACAGACGCTTAGCTCTTTATCATTATAATAAGTCATGATTGATGGAATATCGTTAAAGTTTGTGCGCGCCAAACATTATGGGTTGCCGCTCACGCATGCTAGCCCTCCCCCCCCCCCCCGAGCGAGATAGAGATTGGGAATAGCGACGAACAACTTACAAGGGAAGGATACCAACATTAGTCGGCGATTGAAGATGAGATGTATATCAGTAGACGCGTCTTTAAACGGTGATTCCAAATCTGCTTTCTTTTTTGCGGAACAAGTCTCCGAAAGAAGTTATGAGCGTTTGAATGTCCAAATTTGCTAAGCATTGAGTGGCTTCAAATTAACGAAAAGCTCTTGAACAATACTTATGAAATTTCCACCGGCTTTGTTCCTTCCTTATAAACAATATACTCGGTACAGAAGTGATTTCACTTTCCGGTGTTTTTGTACAATTTTTCGCGAATTTTAAACCACCTAAACCTTGACAAATTTGGACATTCAACCGCTCACAAGTTCTTTCGGGAACTTATTCCGCAAAAAATGAAAGCAGATTTGAAATCAGCGTTCAAAGTCGCGCCTGATATCATCTCATCTTCAGTCGCCAACTAATGTTGATATCCTTCCTTTATTAGTTGATAACTCAAATATAGAAGGAAGATGCGAAGAAAAAGCAAAAGTGATTTACCCACAAACGTTGGACATGCGATCTCATTCCTTTGCTAGCGTAACCTTCCATCCAGCCACCCCACGATCAAATCCACAAGTGAGGAGGTTGATATGCGGGTGATCATCTGCCCAAGCGGCACAAGAAACCATGCGCGAGTGGCACTGAAGCTTTTAGTTGAATGTTTATTGATAGCTATCAAGTTACTCGCGCTCACCCGTCTATTCGGCACTCTTGGTAGGCGGTTGCCAGCGAGATCATATACGCGGACATGACGATTATCAAGAGGTATTGCTATGGCGCCATGGGACCGGCTCACCTGAAAGAACGTATTCAGGTACATTTTTAAAACTAACTCACTTACAGAAAGGCGGTTAGCTGCAGATGACAATCTTATCGTTGAAATAGCGCTACGCATGTTTCGTAAGTCCCAGACCTAAGAATTGGAGAGATAACAAGTCAGACTGAATCAAATGACAAACTAACTTTTACTGTTCTGTCGTCGCTGCCAGACACTATCCTGTCACCTGTTGAAAATGCCACGGAACTGACAGATCTATAGAAAAACGTTGGATGGAACTTCACCTCTGCCGTGAGAAAAACGGATAAAAAGACATACTCCTGGTGCCCTTGGAAAACCGCGACTGACTGTATAGTCTCACGAAAGTCCCACAATCGGAAGGTAGAGTCTTTTGATGATGTTACGACAAGTTTCTGACTGGGATGAGCAGAACAGTGATTCAATTCCATCTCATGTCCACTCAAAATGTTCAGCACCTCTCCTCGCTCAACATCATATATATTTGCTGTGCGATCCCAGCTTGCTGTACATAGCTGACTGCCACCTGAAAGAAGCAGACTTCGACCATTTTTTCATTGCTGCAGATCATAAACATGTTCTTCCTGCATACTAATCTCATAAAAGTTATTGCTACGGATATTCTGAGGATATTCTGCATGTGGCCTGTCAGCAATTGCAAGCTATTTTCATAACCCTTACAAACTGATGTCCAGTGTTCTTGAGGAACTGAAGATAATGAGTCCAATGAAAAGTAATGAGCGTTTTTTCAAGTGTGTTTTAGGACAACTTTTTTCCATCAAACTTCTTTTTTCAGCATACATTTATAAAATCGTGACGACGGATTTCACACGCGCCTGCAGGGGCATAAAACACACAAAATCAGTTCAACGTTCACCTCAGGCACTTCCCATGTCTAAATGCTACCATATGTAAGCAGAAAAACCATTCGAGTATAGATGAAAATCGAGTAAATGCGGTTGTTGCAGAGGTGCGATGGGGAGGGGGGGGGGGTCCAAGCCCACAAGAGTGAAGGTGGTCTTAGCTACCACTTACTGCCAAAAGTGAAGGTAGTAGTGCTGGCACTCACCTCCCAAAAACGTTGAGGAGGGGGGAGGGGTATCTTTTAGTGAAACTCAGCTAGACTTTACGTATTAACGATTTAAGACTTTACGATCAAGTAAATCTGTTATGACGTATTGCGAAGAAAGTAGGTCGACCCAGGCAGTAACCGCCGAGAAGTTGAATTTCGAATGACAGATCGAATGATAAAATAACAAAAAAAATCATGCAAAATTTCCAGTGTTATAGATCTTGTGGTTGGAGATGCCAGCAACTGCGACATTATTAGGTTCTAAGGGGTAAGTGCTGTTCTACCACGCAGTGAAAGAATCAGGTCGACTTGAGGAGTGGCCCCCGAGGACGAGAATACTGAAAAATTGCGCCTTTTTAAGTTGCTTAGTGACAGCTGACATTTAGACTCCTATATATCTGGTATGTGAAGGTGTATGATGTTGCGATCTCACAGGTTTTGTAGAGTAAGGCTTGCCCTACTAGAATATGTCTTAACCGCACCGATCCACTGGAACACGCCGAGAGCCAGGCTACTGAAAAAGCAGATGAAAAATCGCTTTTCAAAACTTAACAGCCCTAACTTCTTCAAAACTGCATGGATCACGGACCATGTTACGACTTCATAGGTTAAATTCTCCTCTTCAAGAGCTTTCAGACGATATATGTGTGGGGGCTCAGTGCTTCTTGCGGCTTTAAGCCGGGTGGAGACTTTTCATCATAATTCTCCACCTAGCCCATTTCAATATATCATCTGTTGTATGACTAGGAGACGCGAGACCGCATTGCGGGCATTGTCTTAACTGGGTTTAGTTTGTTCTTTCCTTTTCCAAAGAATGAATGAACCTGGACGAGATAAGTAACAAGTAGCCTGCTAAGTACACGACTGGGCCTGTTTAGACAATGCGTGCAATCATACCCTCGATACATAGAGCTGCGTACTCTGGTAACCTTCACTTTGAGGGTTATGAGGGGACACAATCTTCACATGGAATAAAACAGAAGTCATCCAGGGAGAAACACCGGATGTTATATTCCTGACTTTATCGGAACGAATGTAAAATAAGGAAGAATATCTTTAGATTATCCAGCAAAACCGAGAATTTGCGTTTTAAACCCTTTTTACGCTGAAAAGAAGGTTTCTGTAAAGGTTTTCCCAAAATATAGGGGACAACATTTCTCCGCCATCCTCTTATGACCGAAATTGAGTTCCAGAAGTTTAGTAAAGCTGTTGGAGTTGAATAAGAACCAGAAACGCGCTTAAATTTTGCGCAGAAGCAGCGCACGAAAGTGCGGTTCTATCTCGTTAACAAGTAATTTTCAACGCTTGATACGTTGTCAGTGCTCCTCGTCGTGTCATGACGATCAGAATGATATATAATGTTGCAGGGTTTCGTTGAGACCCCGCAGAGATCTACGACCAGAGCCAAATGCCCCGTCGGCTCTGGTCTGTCTCCGCTGCTCGTCTGCGTCTCCGCGCGCTGCACGCTACCTCGCTACCCCTAACGCGGGGCATCCGTCTGGTACCTTTTTCTTCGCCGTTTCGAACCCAATTTTAGCAAGCTATATATCATTTCAAAGCTCTTGATCTCCACAGGCAAAAACCTTGTTATCGAAAACCTCTTGTATTTCTCCTAGTTCAGCTCTTTCCACGCGGTTTTTTCGTGCATTCTATAGATCTTACTTCTGTTCATAATGCAGACAACCACCCAGCCCTTATCTCTTCGATTATGGTGGAATTTTTTGCAAATCGTGAAAAGTGCGTTTCTCTTTACCTTGTTCTTTTTCAGTGTTTTCGTAGCGATTTTTTTCCAACTTGGGCTATTATTGCTCAGAACAATAGGCACAACAATCCAAACAACGACCCAAGAAACAGGAACGTCAATATGGGGTAAAAATTCAAAGGACGCATCGAAAGTTAAATTTGGCTTCGACGTTCTTCTCAACTTAGTAAAAAACTTTGCGTCCTCATAACTAATTTTTTCCTTGTTTATCTTCTTCTTGATAACCACTCCTTCCGAAACATGTTTTTTTTTGAAACAATCACATGAAATAAATTAGCTCTTCTTCGCTTTCCCCCGTGTTGCGAGTTGCTAGTGGAGCGAAAACTTGCACATTGAAAAGCCACTAAATGAAAGATTCCAAGCCTCCTTGCAGCTTGTTTTTACCCGGCAGCAGTTCCTTTTGCTTTTATATCTGTTTTACGTCATTTTCTTTTCTCTGATCTTTTTTAAACCTTCACTAGTTATGAGGTCAGATGTTCAAACAACCTTCACTTTTGACGCCCTGTCTCTAGACTATCCAGGGTATGCGTGCAATGCGGTTTCGCGCCTCCTAGTCAAAGAATGCATGATAATGGCTTAGGCCGTCAGTGGAGAATTTATGATAAATAGTCTCCACCCCGGGCATACTCCATAGGAGGCAAGAAACCTCCATATAGTATACATCATCTGAAAGCTATTAAAGAGGAAAATCTGGCTTATGAAGTCACAACATGATTCATGCAATTCTGAAGAAGTTATAGGCTATTGAAGGACGATTTTTCACAACTTTTTTTAAGAGCCTAAATCTCGGCGGTGTTTGAATGGATAGTTACGACTAACAACATGCCTTACAACAACTTGTAAGACAGATTCTGGTAGGGTAACCTTACTCTACAAAACCTGAACATGAAGTCGCAACATCACACACCTTCACCCAGATATATAGCAGAGTCTAAATGTCAGCTGTCACTAAGCAACCTAAAATTGCAAAATTCTCTAGAATCCTCGTTCTCGGCGGTCACTCCTCAAATAGCTTGATTCTTTCACTGCCTGGTAGAACAACACTTACCCTTCAAAACCTATGAAGCCGCAGTTGCTGACATCTCTAAAAACAAGATTTATAGCGGTGAAAATTTAGCACGATTTTCGTTATTTTGTCAGTCGAAATTCTGATTCGCGGCGGTTACTGCCCTTATCGACCTGCTTTCTTCGCACTACGTTATAACAAAGTTTCCTAAATAAGATACACGTAAAGTTTAGCTGAGTTTCACTTACAAATACATCATTTGATTAACATGTTTATTTGAAATATTTATGTTCTTTCAATATCCTTCTTCGCGTACGTTTTGCTTATTTTCCTTTTTCTCGAGCAGCAAAAAGAATTTTCAAAACCTAGAAGGTGGTCACCCTGTACCAGCTCAACGTGAAGGTAGGTGAAGAATCGGCTCCCAATATCGCAACCCTGGGTTGCCGGGAGTGAGCGCATATCGAGCACGGTTGCGCCATCTCACAATCTTTCGAATGCCCTATAGCAAACTGTTGAAAAGGTCTTTTCATGCTCTATCTAGTGGTTGAAGCAAGCTTCTAGCCTCTGTTGAAAATCTCCTGAGCTTTACATAACCGCACTCAAAACTAGAATTTTATTGCATTCTCTGACAAGAATTCTGCGCGAATGATAACATTCACTCAATAATTCAGCTACTGCATGTGGTTTGTATACATTACACACACTTCATATTTTCTGAGGTCATCTAAGCTGGAATATCGACACCTCAACATGGGTAGTGTTTGCGTTCATTCTGTGGTCCAGTGAAAAAATCTATTACCGAACTTCATTCATTTCTGTAAGCGTGAGGGTAAAGCTCCCTTTTTTCAGTTTTTTCAGAAATGTCTAGCTATTCGGTACGCAGATAATCGAAAATCTCCACAATTTGGGACTTCGAGGCCCATGAAAAAATGTTGTAAATAGGTGACAATCTTGCTTTTTGATTTTATTCTTTTTGCAATTTTTTTCGTCCAAGCTCTTTTGTATATTGGCTTTCGACTACAGGATAGGCTATACTTACTTACTTAGATGGCCCGTCCTCATGTGACGTGCGGGCTCCAGTACAGAAGTTTCCATTGATTCCTGTCCCTCGCTTTAGACATCTAATATTCTTGGTTGCCGTCGGTGGCTGCGTCCACAGTTCCAGGTGCGATAACAGTATCCAGCTGATTCCTCAGCTGGTCCATCCGTTCCACGAACACGTCCGCCCATCTTCTTGGCGTGGTTTCTCGGGGACGTTTGACTTCGCGAGGGATCCATTCAGATGCTCGTGATGTTCATCTGTCGTCTGTCCTTCTCATAATGTAACCTGCCCATAGGTGTTTCGCTTTCGCAACGTAATATGCTGGATCACGAAGAAGGATCATTTTCCCACACCTGTACTGCAGTCCGACTAGATGTTGCTTGTGTAGCGTCATTTTCAGAAGACTGCGCTCGAGCGCTCTGTGGGTGGTCTGTAAAGCGACGTAACTATAGTGTCAGCCCAAGTCTCAGCTGTATAACAGAGCGCTGGGAGAACGATTGAGTCGAACAGGTGGGCACGAAGTTTCGGATCCATCAGTTGGTGGGTGATCCTTCAGAGGCCCGAAGGTGGTCCAGGCTGCTCTCCTCCTGTTAAAGGCAGCGTCCGGGATCCACCCACCCAGATTAGCACATAGTCAGTTCCACTCCGCATCTTCGCGAAGGGCGTTCTTCATGAAGGGTTCCTCCAACTTATTCGCAATCCTATCTTCTTCCCTACTTCGTTTAGTTCCTTCAGCACCGTCTCTGCTTCAGTGATACTGCTCGAGAAGAGAACGATGTCAGCTTACGATGTCGTCCGCAAAACGAAGGTTCGACAGGAATCTCCCATCAACTCGTATGCCTCTCCCGTCCCAGTTTAGTGACTTCATCACCTACTGCAAGGCCGCGGTGAACAGCTTCGATGAAATAGTGTCGCCTTGTCGCCCTACCCGATTGTTCGGGGGCGATGGAATAGCTGCATCGTTGTTGTACAGTCCTTGTAGCGAACGGCGAATGTCCTTACGTAAGCTGGGTCCACTCTTTGATCGATATGACAGAATGACGTTCATTTCGGCACTGTCGAAGGCTTTCTCGTAGTTGACGAAAGTCAGGACGAGAAGCAGTCGGTATTCCCAGCAAACTTTTATGACCCTTGAAGCCGTCTGAATAGTGAAATGAATGAATGAATGCGTTCCATGCAACTGAATCCCTTACGGAATCCAGCTTGTTCTTGGGGCTGGGTTTCATCCAGTGTCCTGAATATGCGAGCGAAGATAATCTTCGTGAAAAGCTTGTACAGAACACTCAGCAGGCTATTGGACGGTAAATCCAAAGACTCGCCCTTCTTGAAGAGAAGGACGGTTCTTGATGTTCTCCACTGGTGGGGAATCTTCTTCTTCTAAAGGCAATATGTTAATTACGACGCTAGAACCACGTGTAGATGGTGTCCTCCGGCTCGCAAAAGTTCGATGGGAAGATGATCTGGTCCTGGAGCCGTGGACGTCTTCATGGTTTGTATCGCGGTACGCACTTCAGCAGGTAGAATACTTGGTGGTACTTCTCCAGTGGGACAACGTGCATCGGCACGGGTGTTGATGAGCGGAAGAGGTTGGTGTAGAAGTTCTTCGCGATAGATTCCATCCTGTATCGGGAAGAAGTCGGAGTCCCGTCTTCGTTTAATAGTGCAGCCAGCGATACGTGATATTCACAAAGGTCCCTTCGCACATCTTGAGACATCGTTTTCCTTCGGCTGCTTCCAGTATCTTGGCTTGCCTGTACTTCCTCAGATCCTCCTGCAAAGCTGTTTTGCAACTGGCGTTGGGTATCAGTCGCTCGAGATGGGTTGCATTAAGATCCTGCTTCAGAAATCTTCTTCTTTTGAGCAATTCCTTGGTGATCTTCGAAATGCGTTTTAAGTTCTCTTCAGAGGTCACAGAGGCGCACTCTTCGCAAGTTCGCAATCATTTCAGAAGCCGGTCGTGGTCGTACGTTGGGTCCTCCTCGATGGGCCAGTCACAACCTGATATAAGCTCTTCTAACCTGTTACCGTCATAAACGACTCCTTTCCTTCTTGCGGTATTGTGACAGATCTTCTTTTCCAGCTTTCGACTGAATCGTACCTTCGCTCGAAGGAGGCGGTGATCGGAGCCACTAAAGAAAAATGGAACTACCGAGGCATCAAGCAAGCTTCACCTTCGATTGGTGAGAATGTGGTTGATTTCCGCGTGAGTCGTGCCGTTGGGCGATTCCCATGTCCACCGGCGATGTTCTTTCTTCATGGAAATGGAATTTCCATGGACAAGTCGTGCGGCGAAGAAAAGCCGAATGAGACTGTTGCCGTTTTCGTTCCGGAGCCCATATCCAAACTTCCCGATCCTAGATTTCTCTTTTAGTGGCATCCCGATCTTCGCGTTGAAGTCACCCACAACGAATTTGTAGAAAGACTTCTCGTTGCGTACGACCTCCTCCAAGTCGTAGAAAGCATCTAGGGCTGAGTCGTCAGCTGCTGATATCGGTGAGTATTGGCGTAGTAGGTGCAGAACATAGAAAGTCTCCATGGCGTGTCGTCTGGGCAGAGGTGTCGTTTTTTATCCAATCCAAAAGGCGCCCTGAGTACCCTGACATGTTCTTGCTACCGTAGGCAGGATTGATGTGCAGGGATGTTTCTCTTCTTTTTGCTGATCGAGTAATAAAAATTTTCCCTCTACAAGAGCAGACTTAGTAGGCCAACTCTTGATTCACGTAGCGATCGCTGATCCGGGTATGGAGGGGAGAACCGCCTAGCGACCGGAAAACCAGACGGCATGGATCTGGCAGGATGTTTGTAAATTATAAAGGCTACTGCATGACGAAGGCGCAGAAGTAGTACCAGTTGAGCGGGCGCTAACGCGGCGCGCGCGTATCCTCACCGTTGTAAATCCTGCGCCTCATGCGCTCTGCAGTCAATAAAGCCGCATTCGCGCTCAAAGATATTGCGCCTTCGTCATGCAGCAGCCTATACTCACGAACTTCAAAGTGAGTTATGATTTGTGAAAAACGAGGTTCCAGAAAAAAAACTAGTTTGTTTTCAACCCATATTTTTCTGCCCGTTTATGATATTAGTAAAAGTAGATGTGCGCTGTAGTACAAAAGTCTGCCGCTTCTGTACAGATTTTCTTAGAAAGAAAGTTTATAGTACGTCTAAGTAATAACTCGCAAAATGCTCATTATTTTCTGCACCAGCCTAATATGTAGAAAGGACAGTGATAATGAAGGTGGAAGTTCAAAGGCATGTCCAGTCTCATTGTATGAACATTCAAATTTTTCAGTTGAAGCCAGTTTTGCAGACTACCGGTTCAGAGATAAACGTCAAGTACAAGCTTAAGACCCCCTAAATTTCTTGCGAGGTGTGGTTAAGTTATGTAAGTTCTGATCTCTGCTTTCGATCGTTTCTTCTACTAGGTGAGTGTATCTAGAGACTTCAATGGCAAATTTGAAGAGACTAGTGAACTAATCTCAAAGGTGCTAGTTGCAAGCGCGCTCGCTTCGGGACCCACTCGGTTTCCCGCTATCTGTAGCTTTTGAATTCACCCTACGATTCTCATATATCAGATTTTTTCGTCTACATTGCCTCGATAAGCTTCCCCTTGCGAATATTCTCAACGACCTCATCACATTTTCAACCATAGTGAATGCTCAGTCCCTTCCCACTGGTCGTATTGATCAACGAAACCTGAGGTAAACCCTACTCTTGAGAGTAGGATCTAGAGAGCAATTAACCTGTAACAAAAAGCACATGTTACGCTTAACCTTAAGTGTGAAACATACCATGATGGTAAAGCTTGCCCCAAAAAGCCTTAAAGACAGCGTCCGGGCAAAAAGTCAATTTTGAGATTTTGTGCTTACCCGGGCCTATTCGCTATGCTGAATCCGAAAATCACCACTAGAGAGCGCGAAAACGGCGAAAAAGGGCTCAAACGCAGGAGGAAAATCAGCAGGGGCGGGGTCCTCGCCAGGTGGACTCACGCTTCCAGCTTCCGGAGCAGTCTAGGTTCCTTTAGTCGCGCTAACATCGCTACCGGCCAAGTGCAAACACGTGACTTGAGATCGGAACCGAGATTGCTCCGGAAGCTGGGAGCGAAAATCCACACTGGCGCGAGCCCCGCCCCTGCTGATTTTCCTCCTGCGTTTGAGCCCTTTTTCGCCGTTTTCGGGCTCTCTAGTGGTGATTTACGGATTCAGCATAGTGAATAGACCCGGGTAAGCACAAAATCTCAAAATCGACTCTTTGCCCGGACGCTGCCTTTAAAGGCAGCGGCTCGGTAGATGACATTTTGGGATATTCAACGTTATTGACTTTCTTAAATGAGCTGAGTCTGAATCTGTGCTTTGCAGCTTTTGAAGATATCAGTAACTCGCTTTCCCGGACGTGAAAAGTGCTGTTTGGGCGGTTCGTAAAGTGGCTGCTGGAGCCAGTAATCCAAAATGCTGCCGAGATGGGTATGTCTCCACTCAGGAGCCAATCGCGCTCTAGAGGGCAGGCTCACGCCGTCCGCCCAAATAACTTTTCACGTCTGGAAAAGCGGGTTATTGATATTCTTTATAACTGCAAAACACAGTCTTGAACTTAACTCATCCAGAGGACCGGAAACGATGAATATTCCAAGGTTGTCATTCTGCTGAGCCGCTGCCTTTCACCTTACTCAATACTGTTTTGTTCTCAATGATGCATCGAAAGATCACTTTATGTTTTTACGAAATGACAAAGTGCATTTGACCATGCTCTATGCTAGGGTTAAACTTACCTTGATGAGTCACGTCCGCGAATACGTTAGTCTTTTCTGGGTTAAATCTACCCTCAAGCTCAATGTTACCCTCGCGGTAGCGACCGTCAATACGAGTTAATCGCTTTCCGGAGCAAACTCTACTCTCAAAAATTCGTTGGCAGAATTACCCTCAGAGTTCGTTGACGAGTACGACCACAGGACACTATCGACCGCAAATGCTGCGAACCCCGCTTCCGTAAACGTAATTTTTGTCTGTTTACATTTACAATACTGTCACAACTACAATACTACAAAAGCTTTACCTGCAAGCCAGTCGCATCCGATTACAACACCAGTGTGTCCAGTCAAACGCATCAGTGGGTTTTTGATCCGGATGCCTTCAGATGACTGCTGTTGAGTCGTTTCGCTTTCACATGGGCAACTGTCAGCTGCTTTGTCCTCGTCATCATCGTCGGAGCTCAAGACTGCTTGCGATCCTATTGTGACTTTCCAGATATGGGCGGATTCGTCGCCACTAGCAGTAGCAACAGTCACATCAGCAGCAGGATTCTCCGATTGTGGCGCAAACGCTATGCAGTTCACTGAACCGCTGTGGCCGACGTAGGAAAATAAGCACGCACCAGAATTTAGAGACCAGATCTTCGCCGATTGATCTGGGAATTCAAGATAAGAGATGGCAAAAAAGAGAAGCATGTCATCATTATTACCCTCTGTATCATAGAAGCGATAAGGGCTTGTGCGGCTCCGGTCTCGCGCACCGCCTCCCTTGGACTCTGCCCCTCTTTCATGAGCGTGCTCTCCGATTTTTCCAGCCGAAAACGAGAAAGGCCGAGCTTTTGCTAATTAAGAAAAAAAATGATGCGAGCGCACGCGCGCGAAAGAGGTGCAGAGCCCAAACGAAACGGTCGCGTGGGAGCGAGCCACCGAGCTCCATCACTCCTGTGATAAGAGGGTACCTTTGGCGCAATCGCTAAATATAATTAACGAAGTCATGTACATAGTTGGAGAAAGTCATATTTATCATACAGTACTTGAGATTATACGGTGGAGGACTATATGTCGACGAAATGGGTGATCCCTCGCGGACATATGCGACAGAGTACGCAGCTCCGCACGTTGTAGACCTAACGGAATTGTACCGGCTGTCGCGCGAGGTTGAGCCTATCGGCAAAATACAGTCCCCTTACCCGAGATTGTAAGTCCACTATACTTTGGAATATTCGAAAATTTTTTCGAATAATCGAATAACCGAATATATTCGAAAATCAAAAATGTCGAATAATCGAATTTCGAATATTTTCAAAAACAAAAAATGTCGAATATTCGAATATCGAATATTTTCGAAATAAGAAAATCGTCGAATAATCGAATATCGAATATATTCGAATTTGAAAAAACCCGAATATTCGAATATGTTTGAGAAAAACAATCCGAATAAACGAATATTTTGCATCGATTATGTCGAATATTCAAACAAATTTTGATTTAGCACAATGAAGGACTCCATGCAGTGGGCAACTTGGTCAACAAACGATGGTTGCTGGTATAGCAATCAAAATTGTGACGCTGTCATTTAGTTATTCGATTATACGAAATTGTCGAATAATCGAATAACTTCTGAAAATAAATAATCGAATGTTCGAATATTTTTGAAAATCAAATTTTTCGAATAATCGAATAAATTCGAAATTGACAAATTTCGAATAAGCGAATATCGAATATATTCGAGATTTTTAAATTTTCGAACAATCGAATTTCGAATAAAATTTATTCGAATACTTTATTCGAATACTCGAATGTTTATTCGATTCGGTCCAAAGTATAAAGTCCACCCTAACTGCATCGATACCTGCGCTCGCACTGCCGCAAATACTGCGTGTCGTATCTGCAGTCACATGCCAAACACCATCGCGATGACCATCGAAACGCCGGATAAGTCTGAAACAAGACTAAAGATGGTGTTTATATGCGAATTTGAGGTACGATACATGTAAGATTTACCGAAACCGCTCGCCGTCTGATCCGCCTACTTTGAAAACCAAACGTCCAGGAGGACCACGCAGAGCAGTGCGCAACTTCTGTCCCACATGCATGGCTGGAAAAGCAGTAGTACAGATATGCTGTGGACTTCTAATCAAGTTCTGACAGCCCTTTCGGCTGCAGCACATATTAAACTGCATCGGTTGTTCTGCTACAAAACATGACCAGACTTCCAGAACGATTGAACGTCTGGCTCATCTAATTCGTGCCGCAGCCTTCTACAAGCTCCTTGTTCTACAGTAGGTTAAAGAAAACATCTTCAACTTCTTCTTTCCTGTGGATTTCCTTTACGACGTTTATCAGCCCTGCTCCTTTTGAAACATGCGCCTTCTCAATATCTGAAGCGATTTAATCCTTCCATAACAAATTGGTGCCATGCGACGTGGGCAAGAGCTTTATTAGCAGGCGATATTACAAACTACTCCTCCCTCGTTATACTTGCCCAACGCTCCCTTTGACGTTGTGACTCTTGCATGGAATGCGTATCTTTCACTATAGCATGGTACGAAGAGAACGTAGCAATCAAACATGTAGCTGCGGTCGGTATTGCGTGCTGCTACGATCCCCGGGAAGAGGGACGATTAACACCCTGAGGCACATGCCATACTGCCTACTTGATTCATTTCCCTGTTGGGAAAGTCACTGATTTGTCCAATAGCGAAGTGGATCAAATGGATCAAGTGGATAGCGATGGTGTGTGCCTGAGCGAAAATCATAGTTCGGTATCAAGCTTATAAAAAAAAGCAAAAATTACTATACAGAAAAGGGATAAGTGATTATCGAAGAGATTCCAAATTGAACGACAAAAGCTAGATAGATATATTACCTCTTTTGCTTCCACCACTTTTGACGCTTTCATTAACTGGCGTGAATGGGTCTCCTTGCAGCACAGAAACGTCGCCATCACCTCCGACGTCTAGGGCTTCGATTTTGGCACGTACTAAAAAAGTGAAGAACCTTCTCGCTCTTTTCGAGAAACACTTACAAGCGCAGTTTTCGGCATACAAAGCATCAAACTCCTTATCGATAAGTCCGAAAAGATGGTAAAGTCTGGCTCTGCAAAAGATGCTGTTCCAAATGAGCATAAAATGCACGTAGTCCACGTTGTTACCTGTGTGTCGCTGTGGTGTCACTCGTATCATAGTCCGGCGTTGCCTGTGTCATCACCAAGTCAGAGTCAGCACGTCGTCCTGCATTGTTTGGCTTACGTTGTGATGTCAATAACGTGCACAATGTTCAGAACTGATAGGAAAGTAAGGAAGGCTTCAGTTTCAAACATAGAAAGTAAGATGGAGTTGAAGACGTACAGTATAGGAGTAGACCAAGAGAAATCGCCTCTTACACATTTCTCGATGGAAGAAAGCTTTATCACGATCGCTTCAATATGACAATGGGTATGGAAAAAAGCTACAACCTTATGCTGCCGACTTTAGCTTCAAAGTAAATTGCACGCAAGCACATGCTATAGAACTGAATCGCAAATCATTACAGATTCAAAAAATTCTGACTACATCAAAAATTTTCACAGTTCGAGGACATAATACTGAATTCGATCATCAAACAACTTGCACTAGATACTAGACCACAACAAAACTGAGCTCATAAGTATAGACAGTTCATTGCACGCAGACTACGGACGTATCGGCGTCTCTCTGATCGAGCGCTCTTTCGTTGTCTTACCATCTGCTGTCTCCATGCACACACTATCTTGGCCGTGGCCAACGGTGCCATTCTTTGCGTGTCATGAATCGCACTGCGCATCCTCCAAAGTTGTCCCCCAGATACTATCAACATGACAGCCTTTCGATCGTTTTAACATGTGAAGTTCGAGTAAGCGCCTTAGATTTGCTGGAGTCAAAGTGTTACGACTGAAGGGCAGCCACGTTGATGGTACCTATGGGAACAATTCTGGCGAGCATCATATATGGGATCGCGGATCGTGAACCAATTCTTTTACAGTCATTTGAAATATAGATACGTACAGAAATGTGAGCCTAATAGCACCAACGGAAAATCATGGTCGAAGCAAGAACAGCCACTGCCAACGGGAAAACAACTGTCCCTTTATTTTTTGCTTGCTCCTTTCCGTCGCAGTTCAAAAGGTCTAACGATTGTCGATTGATGAACATGACCGAAGTGATCGCTGATGTGAAGATCTTGGAACTAACTTATAAAAAGATTGGTAGCTTCTTCGGTTTCTAGCAGTCCCACTAGCAAAACTTTAAGTGTGCTTTAGATAATCATAATCAGAACTTGGAGAACTTTGGCAGGTGATGCAAATGTTGAATACCTTGCTGATAAGGGCCGCATCCTAATTGAATTACACATACCCTTGAAATTGAGCATGAGGAGATCAGCCTGAGCTACATGGAAGGCTAAATAAGAAGATCAATCACTCCACATACGGACATCTGGAAACCGAGTAACCTAGACTAACATAAAAATACCCTATTTTCAGGTGTATAAGCCGCACTTTTTCAAATTTTCCCACGAGCTGCTCAGCCGCTTTATTGTGTTTCGAGAAGCGATCCTCATGCCGCACGATTCTTTCAGGCAATACGCAGCACACTGTTAAGTCCTTTGGTTGCGAGGTCCCTTGATGTGTTCGGGTTGGTCGATGTAAGCTAGGACCACCCCGCGGCTTATACACTTGAAAATAGGGTAATTCACTTCCTCACATATGGAACCCCACATTCTGCGCTGGCACAAACCACCTACACACTTGGTAAAAGCATAATCTCAGCTCATTCCAACGCTTCTACCGTATTCAGCAGTTGCTTCTTTATAGTCCTTATTTAAGTCAAGTATGAAAGGAGCGTTCTGACGAAGAAATGCGATGAAGTCATGGATACAAGCAATTCGTTCAACGAGATCAGCCTGATCGCACGGTATAGCACGGAGTAGAGCAGGAAGCTTAACAAGCATTCGAAGCAGGTGCGCCAAACCGTAAAACCTGGACGGTCGAATTATATCGGGACGAAGTGGTCCACCGTCCTGAAAGGAACATGCATCAAAATTGATAGATCAAAGCTGTTAATGCATATTTGTTACTAAAAGCGTGAAGAGACGCACCAAAATTTGCACATACACCGATAGCGGAAAGGACGTCTTTACTTCGCGAGATGATTTGCGCGATCTGCGAGGCATTGCGTCTTCGGAGCGCGCTTGGACTCCCTCAAACTTCTCTTGTTCTTTCTTGGCCAATGTGTTGAACTGCAGGCGTTCAAATTTATATAGTAGCTGGTACGGAAGTAGGATATCGAAGTAGTCCCGCATCGCTCTGGCTGTCCTGATAAGTAGGTCGTCATCAGCCAAATAGGTTATGCCACTGTCATGCCTGGATGTAATCAGAAATAAATGAACTAAGCAGCTTTTCCGAGACAAACACTAACTTACTCGATCTCTACGGCTTTGTTACCATAACGTGACTCGGTGAACTCCACGTACTTTTCCACAATGTCATGTACAGTGATCTTTGCCGGTAAGATTGCAAGCTTCCCTTGGTTGACTACAGCATCGTGTTCATTAACCAATATGTTTTTGATAAGTCGTGGAAGATTGGCAAGCTGCTCAAGTTGGGAGTCGACTTCAGGTGCAAACAGATCTGCGGAAACACGATTCGCCCCTAAACAGTGAAATCGTTCCCGCGCATTGTCAAGTGCTTGCGTCAAACTTTCAAATCAGACACTATTACACCTAAAAAAGCGACAAACTTTCAATATTCTCTTTTTTTAGGCGTAAGCATGAACAAATAACACTTTTTAATGGGAAATAATTCGCAATCTACTTTCATTATTTCTAAATGTTTTACGGACGCAGCTTTTATAGTATTGGGCAATTCGACAATGGATGAAAGTGACCAAGCAGCATCTGAAGGCTTTACTGGTCATATTCGCAAATTTCTTCTGGAACTCGGAAAAGTATCTCTAAATCAAACTAGAACTTTTCTGAAATCACGCTTCAAAGAAGATTCTACAAGCAAGCCGACAAAAATGTCTACATATCGCCTATAAAAGCGCTTAGCAGCTACGAAAAGGGCCAGCTTCCAGAGGACATCAGTGATAGTCATTTCAAATTTTGTGACATACACAATTGCCAATTTTTTTATATAGAAACCTACCAGCATCCGCTCCGCCTTTTCTTGTATCGTTCTCAGTCTTCGCAGAATGTCCACGACGTTCACTATGTGTGCTAGGTGCATGTGAACTGCTCCCTAGAAACAGGCATGATTGTGCACTCTGTTCTCAAGCAAATGAATAAGCTGCCATGACATCTGTCGGCACGCCAATTATTGCCAAATCCCCACAAGGACAAAATAGGTTAAACCAGGGTTGAGCGTGAAATCAGGCATGCCCAACCTTGGGGGAGGGTGGAGGGGGTTAGAAGCGCTAGACCGGTGATTATCACAACTCCGCCAGAAGTGGAGGAATGAGTGTCATGAACAGCATACGGTTTAACTCCACTGTCGAAATCTCAGCCAACAATTCTTTATCTCTTACCTAATACACCGTAAGATCACCAAAGAAGCTTGTTGTGTAAATTGGGTATGATTTCTGTAATCATCATGTCAAACTAAGCCTTTAGCTATTACGTTTTTTAAATGTTTTCTAAGGTTCAAAAAGCGTGATCAAAAATGATTAACTTACAAGGGATGTCAGGCAACTTCAGGTTTAATTACCCAAGTTTGAGATTATGCCATCCGGAAGGGAAGAACCTCATGGTAGGAAAGAAATGGAAATTAGAAATTAGTTTGTTTTTGGCATAATTAGCAGCGTTTCGAGATGGGACACCTATATTTGGAATTAGCTTCAGACGCTGATTCCAAATATGGTGTTCCTAGCTGCGGCGCATTATTGTGAAGGAAGTTATGAGCTTTTTTCTATGCGAAGTTGCCACATTTTTCCGTATGGTAGTGCTGCCTGTAGATGAAATCTGCCTAAAAACGGTACTGGGATACTAAAATTATATCAGTTGAGTCTTTTGTAATTAACAAGAGACTTCATGCAGTTTAGCACTTAAGTACGTGCCAGAGTAAGCGGATATTTTGCTCAGCTTCGTTCAGCTGCAAAAGGCGCACAGAATTAAACGATTCTGGCGGGACCTGCAGCTGAAGCAGGCCTTGGCAGCATTAGAGATTATGCAGCAGACATTAATTCTGCGCGCCTTTTGCAGCTGAACGAAGCTGAACAAAATATTCGCTTACTCTGGCATCTACCTTAGGTGATGATACCGTAATGCCAGTAGGTCAAAGCATATGCAAATTTGCGCAGAAGAAAATCGATAACTCGCTTCAGAATGACGTGCCGCAGCTAGAAACAGCATATTCGGAATTAGCGTCTGAAGCTGATTCCAAATATATGTATCTCATCCCGAAACGCGATTCTCAGTTATCTGACTTAGTTCCCTTGTTACTTTCAAAGGTGAAAGAAGTCAGCCTTTTCATACTCATGAGGTAATGCTCTCTATCCTTATGCTACAAATTAGACTTTATACCGCTTTTGATTAGTGGATTGAAAAATGGTGCGAAAATTTCAACCACCGCGCTTTTCACTTCCAATGCTTCAACTCGAAGGATCACGACAAAGCCAAAACAAGTCGAGGGAGGCTCAAACATCCTACTGTAGAATTTTCTTTGCTAGCGAATCACATAAAACTTGGGTGAGAAAGCTTCGTCGGGAGATAAAGTCAATGGGGTCAGGCACAACCCCTCAAAAGGTAAGGCTGCCTGAACTTTTATACCCTTGTGCCTAACCATCTTGAAGGCAGTGTCCGGGCAAGAACTAGATTTTGAGATTTTGCGCTTATCCGTGCCTACTCTACACTGGAAAGCGCGAAAACGGCGAAAAATGGCTCTAACGCAGGAGGGAACGGGCAAATGGGCGGGGTCCTCCCCACTGTGAATTCACGCTCCTAGCTTCCGGAACGGTCTTCTCGACTCCACAAGCCGTCCCGACATCGTCACCGGCCAAGTGCGAACGGTTGACCTGAAAACGGAAGCGAGAAGATCGCTCCGGAAGCTGGGAGCGTGAATTCACAGTGGGGAGGACCCCGCACATCTGCTGAATTCCCTCCCTAGAACCGTTTTTTGCCCTTTTTGCGCTCTCCAGTGTGCATTTTGGGATTCAGCTTAGCGAATAGGCCCAGTAAGCACAAAATCTCATCGACTTCTTGACCGGACACCGCCTTTGGGATCCGTCATACTTCGCCGAAAAAAGCTCAAAAGCGCCCAAAAAAGCTGGAAAAAGCCCGAAAGAGCCGGATAGCAGAGACGAACTTTTGTTAGCATTCTGACGTTATTTTGATGTGCAGACGAAAGAAAATGAAGCAAAAAGATTTGGTTGCGAAACCAACACACATGCCTTAGCGTCAAAACGGAAGGAGCTTTTCGGCTTTTTTGGACTTTTTTGGGCTTCTTTGGGCTTTCTTGGTCTTTTTGCAGCGAAGTATGACGGGTCTCTTTGAATTCTCTTCAGAATCCAGAAATCGCTCCATTTCTGATATGAATATCAAGCTCATAGCCTCTTCTTGCTAAAGCGAAAATTTGGAGCCAAACAGACCACCCTTAGGAAAAGTATGGCTCTTTCGATAGGCCCATTTGGGTGAGGGAACGAACTCCGCCAGTTTGGGTGGCCTCTGCGGTCTATAGTCCTGCGACGACGTGCAACAACATTGCAAAAGGACCAGTTGCCAGGCGAGGCGATTCAAAACTGGCAGAGTTCGTTCTACCCGGTCCAATTAGATAAAATTCCGGCGCCAAATTACGTGTGCTGCTTGCAAGCATTAGCAGAATCCAACTTATAGAAGCAAAATTTTAAAACTCCTTGGGACAGAATGATGTCTTCTAGAATGTCATACTCCAAGGTTCCGGAGCTGAAAAGGAGGATGAAGGGGACATTGGTGGGGGGGCTTTCGATGGGGTGGGGGTTGTTCTTGAGAGACTTGCGCCTGACTCTCGCCCAACTCTGCTTTACACTAATATGGCGCACTTCCGCATATCTCCAATTCTACAGAAAGCAGGAAAATAAAGTATTGACGTAGGTTTCTTATTGTGGGTGAAAATCTTTAGAGATGCTGCGCAACCTATCTCACTATGAGAATGTAGCTCACCTGCCCTATCGCTAGGCGTGGAAGCCCTACTGCCAGTTTCGCTTTTCCTTGCATCGTCGTCCTCCAATTTGGTACGTTTGCGCTTCGATTTCGCTGAGGTGGCTTCCTGGATGTCAGCTTTCGCCTTCGCTATGTTTGCTTCGGTAAGCGGAAGAAAGTAATCAGCACATTGTGATTGTCGGATACGCTCATCATAGCGTTTATGCCATCCTTGATAGTGCACCATATATACCATCTCCCCGTCTACTTCTTCAACTTCGATGATTTTAGCCTCGTAAAAATAAAGACCATGTTTGCACAGCACTTTGTCGTTTACTTCATACTTGTGATCCTTGCGAGGAGGCATGCCTGAAATCTGTAAATAAACTGTCACTTGCTAAGAATCGTCTATATGTGCCCACGATAATCATATGAGTGATTGAATATATGATGCATGGCTTCGGCCATAAGTTCGCGGTGTTCGTGGTGTTCGCCGTGTTCGCGGTGTTGTCGGTGCTCTCTCTAATACGACTTGCGCTCATTTAAGCGGCGCATAGACTGTGCGGGAATCACACGAATCGCAGGAATAGCAGGAATCATCTGGAATAGTGTGGCCGATCTTGACAACACCACGACACCGCGAACCTATGGCAGAAGCCAATGCTTTCACGGCGGCAACAGTAAGGTAATCTATACATATATAAAACTCAAACTTTGTAAGTGTGTTCATTTGTTCGTTCGTTACAGAAACGCCAGCCAATGAACAAATTGGGCTGAAACTTTGTACAGATATGTTTTCGACCCCGGAGGTGGTTCAGCGATACTTTTTGCAGTGACTCGCAGGGAAATTCTGTTGAATGATTGATTTGTTTACTTGCCTCTGTAGAAGTTCAATATGCTCTAACCAATCATTTTGCAATAAATATGTAAGCAGGGCGGTGAAGCTTATTCTAACCTCAAGGTCGGCAGAATGCGGCAGTTCGTCTCAACGCACTTTTCGCAAGTTTAAAAATGTAAGTAAAACATTTTTGTTAAACTAACTTAGAGTCTCGGGTGAATCCGGGACCACCATCTAGTGGCAAACTAAGTTTGGCCATACTTTGCCCGTGTTGCCGATGTTTCCAGTGTTGCCAGTGTTGAAAGTGTTGAACGGAGATCATCAGTCTAGCAGTTTCATTCTTTCTCGAACGATCTCACCGGCTGGTGAATACGTTGGAAATGGAATTGGGGAATGAGAAATGAAACTGAAATGAGATGAGGAATGTTTTCGCATGCAAAAGATCCTCAAACAAACTTTTTGGAAAGTGGACGGCTTGTCTGGAATAGGCATTCTCCGATATTTAACACGTTTCGGACCGGTGCTGCACATGGTGCAGCACGCTGCTTTGAGAAATCTCTCTGGCGTTTGCAGGAGGTTTCCTTTTAGTCTAAAGTTGTTAAGTTATAGGTCTAACCTCCTACTTTTCAAATGACTCTGTAGAGTTGTGCCGCCGATATTTGTTTAGAAGATATGAGCACAAATCGAACAACAGTTGCAACGAAGTGCGGCGACGCGAACGACGCGTGCGACGTCGCAACTTTCCTTTGCTTCGATATCAAAGAGAAAAACCGTAGTTTCAATATTGATGTGTGCCGTGTACAACATAGATACTTTTGAATACTATTAGAATCTGAGTTCTTGTTCCTATCTTTCAAGAAAGCACGAAAGTCCCTCTCAGGCGACAAAATTCAAACACTTCGAATTCACTCAGAACTTTGGATATGAAGCTTATCTGACATGCTGATTACAAATGTGGACCATAGGCTGCGAAATAAGGTCCCTTTGTGGGCTAACGGCTGGTAGTACACTCTTTTTCGCCGCGCGCGATTTGGCGGTCCGAAACGTGTTAAAAACGCTGCAGACCTCACTTAGGTCCTTTACTCACTAATCGCAAGCGCGGCAGGATTCGAACTAAAACACATTACTACTCAGACGTCAGCTTTCTCAAATATTGGAGATTGCCTATTCCAGACAAGCCGTCCATTTTCCAAAAAGTTTGTTTGAGGATCTTTTGCATGCGAAAATCTTCCCCATCTCATTTCAATTTCATTTCTCATTCCCCAATTCCATTTCCAACGTATTCACCAGCCGGTGAGATCGTTCGAGAAAGAATGAAACTGCTAGACTAATGATTCCCGTTCAACACTTTCAACACTGGCAACACTTTCAACACTGGCAACACTTTCAACACCAGTAACACTTTCAACACTTTCAACACCGGCAACACTTTCAACACTGGCAACACTGGAAACATCGGCAACACGGGCAAAGTATGGCCAAAGCCTAAGCAGTGCCGTATGCAAACGGAGGGTTACTGGTGTGATGCCAAAATTCTGAGGAACACACCATATCACAATACACTTCATCCACTTCACTACTGATAGGTGAACAGCCGATCAGAAAAGTGGATGAAGTGAAGTAAGCGGATCATGTAAGACACACGCTATACTTGATCGGATTCAGCCGCTTCGCTATGGCGAGATCAGTGAATTGAGCAGTAGCGAAGTGGATGAAGTGGATGCTGTATGAAGCTTATAAAGTACTTTGGTATACCGTGCCCTATTCACGTCGTAGCGGACGTCAGGCATGAGGCAGCAAGGGCTAGCCGCCTTTGCTTCTGGAAGTGCCTGGGGAGCTGCAGACATCCTCGCGCCTATAATCACTCTTCGCACCTTTGATTACTTTACAAGCAAGAGGATCAAACGAAAATCTTCGTGAAAAGTAATTTACTCTGGATGAATTTGGAACCCTTGCAATTTTATCCAGTCTCAGCCATAATAAGTTTCAGCTTAGAGAAATATCGGGTTTAGGGCGATTTTCTTTGAAATCCGTGCAGCAGAAAGGAGTAAGTCTGCCATGAAGTAAAAGACATATGCTAACAGTCTTCAAAATCCTTGCCTTCAATTGGAATGACTAAAATGAGAAAGAATTACAAGAGTTAGTTCAAGAATCCGACTTGAAGATTTGATAGATCAAGTTATGCGTTCAAACCAACTCAAAAATCTGGTATTTTTATAGCGCCTTTGAAGTTGGATTAGGCTAATCTCTACATTTGCTATGAATTTTAAACATAAAACCTATACTGTTATTTGCCATGCTTGAAAGTTTACGAACAATCGGACATAGGTCATGTCACATGACTAAAGGTGCGAAGATGTAATTAGAGGCGCGAGGAAGTCTGAAGGTCCTCAGGTACTTCCATAAGCAGAAGCGGCAAGCCTTTGCTGCCTCCTGCCCGACCGCCCGTCGTAGCCGAGCAACACACCGAAGGGGAGATCTTGATTAGTAAACCGGAAGTGGTAAATTTTGAGATATCTCTAAAAAGGCAATGCACAGTATAAAGGTAACAAATCACTGAAAAGTAGACCGTGCGTACAGCTAAAAAAAGCATCAAAATAGTTTGGCGTCGAAGTCTAGCCGTATCGCGCATTTGGTGCAAATACGCCACGGCGGGAGCCCAGCACCTCATCCGGAATTTCAAAGTTGTGTGCAGTAAGACACATCGCACCGAGGTGATTAGCCGGATGACGTCTACTATACCCTCGGGACCGGCCATACTGTTCCTGTAATTCCGGCGATTCTTGCGGGTCCCGGAACAATTTATATTGTGAAAAAAAAACAATGCATGCTGAAATTCGCAAAGCACTACGTAGTACGGCACATCGGTCGAGGAATCACAAGAATAGCAGGAATTGGAATCGCGGGAATCACCTTCTGGAATAGTATGGCCGGTCCCCACAAGACACGCTGTCCATCAGCCATATCCTCCCCTACGAAAAACAAAATTAAAATAAAATTAAGCTTTACTCCCACTATTTACACCGAGATGTGCGAGCAATCTGATAGCGGTTGATAAGATTTCATTTTCACTGCCAAGCGCTAAAAATCAATAATTCGATAGAAACACCCAACGAATGTGACAAGTAACCTGTCTTGTGGGTCGAGAACATCTGTGAGCAAAGTTTCAGTTTAGTCGCTTTACTAAAAGAGTTTATAAAATATAAACTATAAAAACTCTAACCCGGATAAACTTCGCGTTTGATGTATTAAATCGTTCCGAAAGTAATGTCGCTTTTTTCAAATGAACGCCACATTTCGTAGAAACAAGATTTTCAAGAGCTTTCAGAATCAGATGCAGTATTTCGTACTCTTTCTAAAGGTTGTAATTTCATTGCATAATATTCAATGAGCTCTCAAAATGTTACCAAAACTGCGACTCATGCTTTTTGTAATGGTCAAGTTCGACTATTTTTCTATATTTTTGTACTGATTACTCGAAGATGTACAAGTAACAGATAAATATAGCAAACCCTATAGCAAAATGATTTTTTTCTCCTTAGTTTGCTTCTTAGACTTTGTAGAATCAATTTTTCAGTGCTGTCAAATTCCATATTTGGTCAACTCAAACCTCACAGAACAACAACCGGCATACAACTCGAGTGTCATTCGACGCAGCTTTTTCTTCTCTTTCTACCAGTTTTTGATTCACTGAATTTTCCGAGATAAAACATCATAATACAGGTTTTCCAGGGCGACCCAGGCTGTATCCGAAATTTCCGAAAGTTGCTAATCTGGAGCGGTAAACGCTCATTTACTTTCCAAAATTAGGGGTAAATCATAATCCACCTTTATAAATTTCAGAATCCGAAATTTTATTGGTGTTTGATGCATTTGTGTCTGAGACAAGCCAGCTAAAATTTGGTGATTTCATTGAAAAATCTCTACAAAAATTATGACGAGCTATGGAAAGTAGAAAAAAATGTGCTGTTTCCTATAGGGTTTGCTCAATCCACCTGTTACTTAACCTCCTTCGGAAGATTGTTGAAAATTGCGAAACTTGGCCTTCTCAGATAGCATGGGTCTTTGGTGATTTTGTTGGAGATCGAATATTGTGCAGTGGTCATATAATCATTAGAAAGAGAATGAAATACTGCATCGAGTGCTACCCAGATCTCCTAGAAATCTTGCTTCCACGGTGTAGCGCTCACTTGAAAAAAACGACATTACTTTCAGAACGACCTAATATATTGAGATGGTCATGCTTAAAGGCATTGTCCAGGTCAACTTGGGGGTACTGGGATCTTGACACAATGTGAGAGCACGGATCCTGACTAGCGCAACAGTTCAAGTGCGATCGAAAAAGGTGGAATCTGAAGCGAGAAAAGCGCTTCGGACAAGTTTGAAAAAAAGGGGCGGTACTCCAATCCCGCCCCCTTGGCAAGTTTTGACGTGGTGAATGCTCAAGATCTAGTGTATTGGCCACGTCATAACTTGTCAAGGGGGCGGGACTGGAGTACCGCCCTCTTTTTTCCAAACTCGTCCGAAGCGGATTTCTCGCTTCAGATTCCACCTTTTTCGATCGCACTTGAACTGTTGCGTTAGTCAGGAGCCGTGCTGTCACACTGTGTCAAGATCCCAGTACCCCCAAGTTGACCTGGACAATGCCTTTAAGGCCTCGGGCAGAGTTCACGCGATTTCATCTTTGCGATTCGTCGCGACAAGACAATTGTAACAAATTCATTGCATGCCGATCTTCTTGCATGTCTTGTGATAGTTTTCCAACAGGACTGATTGTCACTAACTATCACAGCCGAAATACAAGAAGATCGGCATGCAATGAACTCGTAACACTTGTCTTGTAGCGATTGAATCACGACGGTCAAACCGCGTGAACATTCTGCCCGTGGCCTAAGGTAGGCGCTATACTCCTCGAGGAGTATAGCATGGCGACGATCGATATGCATCAAATACGTGTAAAACCGGCGATTTTTGTCGCCGATATTGGCGACTACACGTTCGATACGTATCGATTTGACGAGTGGTAACTTGTTTGGCGATTGGCGATCGCCCGTCGCCGATATTAGCGACTGACGATCGCCAGTCGCCAGCGTTGGCGACTACACATTAAATGTGTATCGATTGGACGTGTGGTAACTTGTTAGCGATCGATACTCATAGAAGACACAGTCGCCAGTATTGGCGACTGGCGATCGCCAGTCGCTACGACGGGCTATCGCCCGTCGCCATGCTATACTCCTCGAGGAGTATAGCGCCTGCCTGAGAGATGCTTACCATAACGACATGCGTTCCTATGACTAGTTTACGAACTTTACAAGTATGATGTATATTTCGATGCGACAAGTGCTTCCTTTTCCGTAGCACCTACAGGGCTCCTAAATTGCAGAGTCGTTTGCACCAGCGGTCGCGCGACCGCGTCGCGCCCGGGCATTTTGCCGCGCCGGCGCCATCGATCGAGGCGGCGCCATTGATGCCTGGGCGCGACGCGGTGCGACCGCTGGTGCAAACGACTCTGCAATTTAGGAGCCCTGTACGTGTCCGCACCGCGAGGGCCTAGCTCGGTGACCCATTCGCAAAGGCAAGTTTTGAATGTGCAATAAACGTGGCGCGAGGCTCTGAAGTTGCCATGTGAGATTTCGATGGTGAAAGGGAACCGAGACACAGAAAATGATCCAACTACACAATTAGTGCATCAAACTACCATCCACTGCAGACTGGGAGAGTCAAGAACTCTATGCGCGCATATGCACATGCAATTCAGGTGTTTCTTCTGCATTACAATGAAGGAAAGAAGAAGACCAAGAGTTGCATGCATTAACATCCTGCCGGGGAGGGGATCGCAAACTTAAAAGAAAGCAAAGCTTCATATCCTAAAGCTCCACATATCTGGATTTTACGCCGTATAACCTATCCGTATCAGTGGCGTACCCAGGATTTCGGCTCGGGGGGGGCGCGACAAAAAATTTTTTCTAATGAAGGTGCGTGGCTAACGCCACGCACTCCGAAAAAATTTTTGAGGTGCTTCTCAAAATTTTTGCGGGTCCCCAACCCCTTAAATCTGGAAAAAGGGGGCGTGGCGTCAGCCACGCCCCCGAAAAAAAATTTTTTATAAGGCTAATTTAAATTTTTAAATAATTTTGAAAAATATTTTAATTATTTACAAAAATAAACAAGTCGTTTGCACATTTTTATAACCCATATAGGTAACTTTCAAAAATTTCGCGACCCATTCTCGGGGGGGGCGCGCGCCCCCCCCCGCCCCCCCCCCTCGGTACGCCACTGATCCGTATGTATAAGCTCCTGCAAGACGAAGGCGGTCGGTTCTACGTGCGACGTGGCTGTGACGCGGCTGTGACGCAGCTGTGACTCAGCCATGTCGCAGCCGCGTTGCACATCGAACCGACCGCCTTCGTCTTGCAGGAGCCTATACTCTCACCATCCTTCACAATAAACTATTGAACAGGGGCAAGAAGCTGTACAAGCCGCATTTTCCAGCTTTTTGTATGATCCCCTGATGGTTCGCTGTGGCCGACCGTCTTTTCTTCAAAGTCATTTTTCTTTCTTGGAAGTTGACGAAAGCCTTCCGATGTTGTACTGATTTCTAACCCAACAGTGCTAAGCATGGTGCTGATAAGAACTTTTCGAAATCCTAATCAATAAACCTCAACTTTCGACTTGTGGTTCATCTCAAATTTCGTGATTCCAGAACATCATTTGTTCTTACCGGCAACATGCTTAGCACCAACAGTGATTATAATCGGTACAACTGTGAAAAACATCTTCTTAACTTCGAAGAAAGAAAAATGACTTCAAAGAAAAGCCGGTCGGCCGGTGAGGATCGACAAGGGATCGTGCAAAAAGCTGGAATATGCGGCATGTATCGTTGATTCTTTGGCCGTACGGACTGCTCAACAGCTGCGGATCACGCGCGGCGCGGTTAAAATGTTGCGAGAGCACGATTTTAACAATGGCGAGGTATTGGAGCAAGCGTTTTACCACGCGGCGCGTGCTCCGCGGTTATGTCCAGTCCGTACAGTCAACGAATCGACGATAGCTTCTCGCTCCTGTTCAACATGTTCATAGTGAAGGATGGTGGGAATAACGGATAGGCAGACAGCGTGAAATCCAGATCTAAAGCTTCAGGATTTGAAACTTCCATTTAAGGTGCGACCCCCTCCCCGGCGGAGATATTACTGCATACGGCCCCAAGCGCAGTTGCGTAGAATTCTCGAGTTTTCTAGTATAATGAACATGCTCATTATTTCAAGAAACAACTTAGTAAGGAAGAGAAGAATCAAGAAGCAGAAATCCTTACGAAATGCCCCTTAATTCAACGCACTGGCTTTTGGAAGGCCACCGCTCGCGCCCACGACGCATTCTGCGCCTCTCTTGCGAGTTACTCTCTGATAATTCTCTAGCCTTGATTAAGCCTCGAAACCCCGCCTTCCAGCCGCCAATTCCGTGGAATCAAAGGGTATTTACGAATTTTGCATGGGATCACAATTATATGTACAGGGCTTTTCAACGTAAGAGTCACAGCCTCCGCTTGCGCGGCTCCTCCAACGCGGCCGCCTCGCTCAGGCCGCGCGCGGCGTTTGCGGCGTATCGCCCGGGCTTTTGCCAAGCTTCAGTCGACGCGCAGCCAGCGCCACGAACGCTGCGCGGACCTAAGCGTGGCGGCAGAGCGGGGCGGCTGTGACACTCAGGTTGTAAAGCCCTGTACGATCGACTCCAAGATTCGTGCAGCTTGTTAGGCTTGAGATATACTTGACGATGGGTCGCTATAGCTGACGATAAGACGCTGCCAGCAGCAACGCCTTTTATGCGTATCGATTGACGTGCAACGCTGCTGCTTCTAGCTGCTGCAGCGAACGCGATACAGACCCGCTATAGCTGGCGATGCTGCGCTGCTCCGCGCTGCTGCTTGCTGCTCGTAGCTGCTCCTCGCTGCTACGCGATATGAAGCTCACTTCTGGTGAGCTTCTCTCAGCTGCTTCACGCTGCTAGCGCTGATTTTGCTCGGATTTGCCCGTTTTTAACATCCTTTTGAACTTCTGAAGGATTTTTAGAGCGCTTGTTGCGTTACTAAACTGTGACAAATTTGCAAGAACAAAACGCAAATGCTTCGATAGGAAAATTAACAGAGAATTGACAAAGTGAACGAACAAATAAATATGAAAACGCACAAAACTTTTGCGAAGAATCAAATTGGATTAACAAAAAATTAGAAAATTTACGATTTAGTGGGATGTTACCAGTACACCTCAATACATTAATGGCAGCTATGACCTAGGTCGTTCGGTTTTTGCCTCAAGCACAAATCAAGATTCTATTGCGACACCGCTTAAATAATGGTAATAATTATTTTCTCAGTACTAGTGCAACATTTTTTCGCAACTGTATGCTCCTTAAAAAGATTTGTTGATGAGAACAGGATGATTTTTTTGGAACATGTAATCATATTCTTCAGTTTTTGATAGTCTCAAAACTTACTTTCCTAATGGGCTAAGCTAAGCGTAGTAATGGGTAAAGGTACTCGTTCTTGCACCCAAAGCGTACCCAGCGCAGCAGCCACGAGCAGCTAAAGGCAGCGCAGACATCAGCGATTCGCCAACACCCGCTATACCTCTATCGTCAGGTATATCTCAAGCCTTACCTCCACGTCATAGAAGTATTTTTCGTACCCTCGCCTATCAAAAAGCGCCACGCTTCGAGCTGCCACGACTCCGCCTCTAGACGAATCGTGGAGCCGAAATGCTAATGACTGACATGATCCCTCGCGTTCAAGAAAGAATTCTATTAGCAGGATCCGTTAAATAGGTACAGAATTTGACTCAAATTTCCGAGCTTGTGGATAAAAGTGCGGAGTGAAACCCCCATGAACATGCACTATAAACAAAAAGCCGAAAAGCACCGCATCTCGAAAGTATTGTATATATGTTAACGAAAATCTTTTTCGAGAGAGGTAGGTGTCAGAGTAAGCGAATATTCAGCTTCGTTCAGCTGCAAAAGGCGCGCAGAATTAAACGATTCGGCGGGACCTGCAGCTGAAGCAGGCCTTGGCAGCAGTAGAGATTATGCAGCAGACATTAATTCTGCGCGCCTTCTGCAGCTGAACGAAGCTGAACAAAATATTCGCTTACTCTGGCACCTACCAGACAGAAAACCGAACTTAGACGTGCCGAAAATGATGAGAGACAGTTTGTGTGAAATCACAGAACAAGTGTTACATTTTGTTGCCAGTGTTTCCTTCGCTACATCCTGTTGAATTTTGTATGCAAAAAGTTCCTAACTTTGAGAAAAAGTGGAGAAGATTCTGAGTCAGACCCATGATTGTAGGATGGTTCAACACAAATGGCCCACCACGGATCGTTATGAGTTGACACCGCTGTATGACCGACCAGACCTCAGTAAGGAATGCATTCGACTTTTGAACGAGGTAAAGCTTTCAAATGTGTTCTTCAAATGCGAAATTTGATGAGGTGTTCATCCGCAGGGTAGCAGATTTGACGATTAGATTCCTATAAGGGAGCGCAATTGGTCTAAAGAAATAGCCTCAGGATGCGCAATCAATTAATCCTATGTCCGTTTTTGACGCGCAAATTTTGTTAGCAACGCAGTTTTGTCGGCACTACATCTCAAATCAAGTGTACTGGTTGGTCTGCTGCCCAACGAAGGCAATAAGCCTGTCCCAACCGGAAATACCCAAAAAGTTTGCTCGTAACGCTAGTGATTTGCGAAGCATGTGCGCGCTCCTCACATGTATGAACAAAAGTTTCCTGTTATAGTGATACTCACACTTTCAGGAATGGCCACGTAGCGATGGGTCGCGCGAACATTCTCAGGCGAAATCATGCCGTCTTACTCCTCCCATGTCCTTTCTGCTCCTGGACAAATCAGACGGCAGACTTATTGGGCATGCACGGCTATGCCTTCTACCAAATAGGTATGACTGTTTGAGAAGCGCTTCTACTTCATAGCAATTTGAATTTTGATGAGGAGCTCGCCTCCGACTTCTGCAGGTACACTCTCGTATGAGCTGTACATACGGATTTAGTGGAAATTCGGGCACTGATAATCAAGCCCGTGGTCATATGAAGAAGTATTGTGTCAGAATCTGGGGACAGAAGAACGGATGTTGTTTTTAACATAATATCTTATCCGTTTGATTATTCGTTTTTGGAGGTCACGGGTGATCCGCGCCTAACCTTCACCTCCACGTTTTGAATGAAAAACTGGTACTATTTCACATAAGTTGACCCAAAAATGAAAACCGTGAATTTCGCTAAAACTTCTTCTAGGGGGGGGGGGGGGTTATTCGGTATGCTGAACACGACTATGATGTTTATTTCGTGCGACAGCGTCATCCGGTGGAGTTACGGTAGGACTACGGTGGAGGGTCAAAATCACGGATTTGCCCGAAACTTGGCCCAGAGGGGTTATTCGGCCCACTAATGCCAAATATCATATTGGTTTTGAACCGTAGCGTCATTTTCACGGGTTACGGTAGCTACACGGTAACGGGCGTAAAACATAGTTCTGCCTGAAAAACGGGTGTAGCGACTCGGACGATTGTGAAGCTTTGCACACGTGACCACCGCCGCGCTCATACCTTCGATAGTTTAGAGACAGGGCGCCAAAAGTGAAGGTTGTTTAAACATCTGACGTCATAAATAGTAAAGGTTGTTTAGAAAAGATCAGAGAAGAGAAAATGACGTAGAACAGATATAAAAAGCAAAAGAAACTGCTGTAAACCGGATAAAAGTGCTGCAATAAGGTTTGAAGCCCTTCATTTGGCGGCTTTGCAGAGTGCAAGTTTTCGTTCCGGACCAGCAATTCGCAACACGGGGTTTTGATTTTTGATGCGTCCTTTGAATTTTTACCCCCTCATTGACGTGTTGTTTCCTGGGACGTTGTCTGGATTGTTGCGCTTATCATTCTGAGCAACAATCGCCCAAGCTGGAAAAAAATCGCTGCGAAAGCACTGATATAGAGCAAAGCAAAGAAAAACGCACTTTTTACGGTTTTTGCAGAAAATTTCACCACAGTCGAAGAGATAAGGACTGGGTGGTTGTCTGCATTATGAAAGCAAGATCTATAGAATGCACGAAAAAACCACATGAAATGAGTTAAACTGGGAAAAAAAACAAGGGATTTTCGAAAACAAGGTTTTTGCCTGATTTCTCGACCAAATTAAAAAATGTGGTTTTGGGACGTTGTCAGCGTAAAAATAGGGATCAAGAGCTTCAAAATGATATATAGCTTGTTAAGATTCGGTTCGCAGCGAAGAAAAGGGTACCAGAGCCAAATGCCCCGCGCCCCGCGTTTGGGGTAGCGAGGTAGCGCGCAGCGCGCGGAGACGCAGACGAGCAGCGGAGACAGACCAGAGCCGACGGGGCATTTGGCTCTGGTAGTAGATCTCCGCGGGGTCTCAACGAAACCCTGCAACATTATATATCATTCTGATGTCATAACACGACGAGGAGAACTGACAACGTCCCAAACTTTGAAAATCACTCATTAACGAGATAAACTGGTGTCTTCGTGCGCGACTCTCTGCGCAAATTTGAGCGCAGTTTCTCGTCTTTTTCAACTCCAACAGCTTTCCTAAACTTCTGAAACTCTATTCTGGTCAAATAAGAGGTTAACTGAGGAATTTTGTCCTGAATTCTGGCGAAAATTTCATAGAAACCTTCTTTTTAACGTGAAAAAGGCCATGAAAACGCAAATTCTCGGTTTCGCTGAGATAAGCTAAAGATATTGTTCCCTATATTTGCTTCATTAACATTCGTTCCGATGTAGTCAGAATAATAACATCCGGGGCTTCGCCCCGGATGACTTCTGTTTTTTTTCCAGGTGAAGGTTGTGTTCCCTCATAGCCCTCAAAGTGAAGGTTACCAGAGTACGTGGCTCTATGTATCGAGGGTATGGCCGCGCTGCACATCCTGCTGCGGCTTTTACCTAAGCAAAGCATAGGAGAAGGATACATTTGCCGATTTTTATTCTGACCTCTACCGTAAACCCACCGTAACCATGCAGGGAGACGTTTTCGTGCGGAAAGTGTGACATTTCTTATCAGCATGTCCAATAACCCCTCTGTGCGAAGTTACAGCGAATTTTGAGATTTTGACCCCCTGCCGTATACCCACCGTAACCCGTGAAAATGACGCTACGGTACAAAACCAATGTGATATTCAGCATCAGCGGGCCGAATAACCCCTCCGGGCCAAGTTTCGGGCAAATCCATGACTTCGACCCCCTGCCGTGGTCCTACCGTAATTCCACCGGATGGCGCTGTCGCACGAAATAAACATCATATTTGTGTTCAGCGTACCAAATAACCTCCCTAGACGAAGTTTTAGCGAAATTCACGATTTTCATTTTTTGGGTCAACTTATCTGGAATAGCGCCGAAAAACTTTCGTCACTGATTAGCCCTCGAGCATAGTCCACGAGATTTCAGTCGCCAATCTGGCAATTTGCCAGATGTGTTCCCAAACACTGCCAGACTACAAATGCATAGCATGCTTGACTTTTGTGGTTGATAATATGCTTATTTTTCTATACATTCAGAATACGCAGGCGATGAGTTATAAACCTTTGAAACGTCCCCCAATCGCGTAGCAACTGAAATCGCGTGGAGTATGCCCGAGGCTATACTCGCAGCCATGAAGGAAGAATTCGTCAATATTTGAGTACTTGGGTAAATATTCATAGAATGTATTTGAAAGAGCTTTGACGATAGAAACACTTGAATTTCACAAGGGAAGGATGATTGGTCGAGGTGGCTTTTTGGAATGAGCTTACTAGAGAACAAACGCCTCTTAGTAAGGTAATTTCAAAACTACTTTCGTTAGCTGTCGAGTGGTTTTGAGGGGAGGGGGGAGGGCTGTGAAGCCATTTTTCCCGGCGCAGCCGGGGCAACTACTAATGGGCGCGACGCTAAAATATGAAAGGGGTTTGACAGTGGCAGTGGCTAGACAGCATACCGTGAAGTATACTTGGGACCGAATCGAATAATTATTCGATCATTCGAATAAATCATTCGAATGCGAATGATTCGAAAAGTCGAATATTCAAAAATTTGAGATTTCGAATTTTATTCGAAAGTCGAATATTCGAAAATCTTAAATTTCGAATATTATTCGATAGTCGAATATTCGAAAATCTTCATTTTCGAATTTTATTCGAAAGTCGAATATTCGAAAATCTTAAATTTCGAATATTATTCGATAGTCGAATATTCGAGGGTCATTCATTCGATCATTCGATGTCCATCAAATATTCAAATATCCATCGAGCACCGAATATTCGGAAATTCGATAAGAATTGACTATTCGAAAATTCGATAAGCACCGAATATTCGAGAATTCGATGTGCATAGCGTATACGGGATGTCTCAAAAGTATCTACACACCGTTTGATCACTAATACCTCTCAAAGTCTTTTGCCAATTTCTGGATAACATCTAGTAGGGATGGCTTCAGCTCATAAATACAGCAGAAAGCGAATCACCCATGTTTTTCTTAATGTGCATTATCACAGTGGGAAACTCCAGCTTATAGACCAACTGCAAAATAAGACATCCAAAAAATTGTCCCCAAAAAAGGTCTAAAATCTGTGCAGCAGTATTTTTACGTATGCTGATTTTACTACGCACGAGTTTTCAAGCTTTTCAAATGGCATTCACATTTTTGAAAGGCGTTGCAAAACAGTTACGGTGTATCGTTTGTTCCCCAGCAAATTTCCCATAGGTACCACGTCATGTCGCTGCCTTTCGCTATTTTGAACGTGTTAACCTCGGGCAGTTCCGTTGAAATCTCAGGAGAAACGTGTCAAAAAGAGCGAAAGGCAGCATCGCACCACGTACGCACGCTGGCTCACATGGGAACTTTTCTGGGGGACACGGGATACCTGGCGTAAGTTTTGAAAAAAAAAGCATTACGGTTGAGTGCAAGTTCTACATAAAGTGAGTGTCTTTAGAAAACTAAAGCAAGACTTTCAGCCCTTTTGATTCTTTTTCTTGGGGAATTGGCTCTTGATGTTTCGAAACCTGCTTCAGTCTTACGGTAATCTTGAAACAGTGAAAAGCAATTGATAAATTGCCCCATACTCTAAATTGATGTCAGCCTACAGATCTACATACTGTTGGGACCGCTGTATATCCAATCGCAACCCTCAGTGAGGGTATATAATCTTCTTTTGAATTACGAAAAATCTCTTCACAACCGTCACAGGAGTAGCTTTTAAGTTCCTAAGTCTCTTCACGTCACGACTAAACCGTTTTTCCATCGTAAATTGTACCATGAGAATGTGTCCATTCTTAGCACTTACATGAAACAATTTATTCTTAGTGTTTTCGCCTTTCATAGGCAGTCCCAATGACGTAAATTATTCGGTCAGTATTCGAAAATCGAATGATATTCGAAAATCGAATAACATTCGAGAACCGAATAGTATTCGAAATTCGAATAACGAATGATATTCGATATTCGATTATTATTCGATTCGACTATAGTCGAATATTCGAAAGTTCCGATTTTCGAATAATATTCGAATGTCGAATATTCGAAAACTTCAATTTTCGAATAATATTCAATAGTCGAGTATTCGAAAATTTCGATTTTCGAATATCATTCAATATTCGAATACTCGAAATTTTCAATTTTCGAATATATTCGATATTCGAATACTCGAAAAAAATTTCGAATTTTCCTAAGTATACCGTGAAGCAGATGGTCGAGGTTCGGGTGCTCGTGCCTAGCAGTTGAAACAAGCTATTTACTGCAAAAAGCCACTATTTCTACAATCTTATATATAAAGCTGAATGTCTGTTTGTCTGTCTGTCTGTCTGTCTGTCTGTCTGTATGTCTGTCTGTGTGTACGCATGTTCCGAATAGAAAATTCCATTTCTGAACCGATCCGGACCAAACTTGGCATACATACACTTCGGGCCCCGGCGCGTGTCATAGGCTACTTTTCGTCATCGATCGATATCGATTTTATCGATTTTTATCGATTTTTTGCTGAGTTCACCTACGGGGCTGGGAGTTGGCACAGGGGGGTAATCGAGCATGGGGATTCCGAATACAATATTGGTTTTCAGGATTATCGATTACTTTTATCGATTTTATCGATTTTTTTGCAAAGTTTGAGCTACGGGGCTGGGAGTTCGCACAGGGGGGTAATCGAGCATGGGGATTCCGAATACAATATTGGTTTTCGGGATTATCGATTACTTTTATCGATTTTATCGATTTTTTTTGCAAAGTTTGAGCTAGGGGGCTGGGAGTTGGCACAGGGGGGTAATCGAGCATGCTGATCATTCCCAAGGGGGGTGATCAGCATGCTCGATTACACCCCTGTGCCAAATTCCAGCCCCCTAGCTCAAATTTTCAAAAAATCGATAAAATCGATAAAAGTAATGGACGATCTTGAAAACTAATATTGTATTCGTAATCTGCATGCTCGATTACCCCCCCCCCCCTGTGCAAACTCCCAGCCCCGCAGGTCAAACTTTACAAAAAAATCGATAAATTCGATAAAAGTAATGGACGATCCTGAAAACTAATATTGTGTTCGTAATCAGCATGCTCGATTACCCCCTGTGCAAAATCCCAGCCTCGCATGTCAAAATTTACAAAAAATCGATAAAATCAATAAAAGTAATCGATAATTCTGAAAACTAATATTGTATTCGGAATCCCCATGCTCACTTCCCCCCCTGTGCCAACTCCTAGCCCTGTAGGTGAACTCTGCAAAAAAAATCGATAAAAATCGGTAAAATCGACATCGATCGATAACGAAAAGTGGACTGTGACACCCGCCGGGGCCCGAAGTGTATGTGTGCCAAGTTTGGTCCGGATACGGCGAGCCGGGTAAGCCAGCTAGTCAGCTATAATCTTCTACAGTATGTATCTAAATCTGTGGGGATTATAATGTTTCAGTAATGGATTTCAATGATATATTAAAGTGTATCTATGGAATGCAACTACAGAATGTTCAAAGCAGAAGAATTTCTCGCAGCGCGCACATAGGATTAAATATAAACGATCATAGAAGATTATAGGTGATTGTAGAAATAGTGACTTTTCGTAGTGAAGAGCTTGTTTCAACTGTGTAGCAAGGAGTATTTCTCGTTTACCGTCATCGAATAGACTTTTTACATAACTGCAAAACAAGATGCCAGCAACACGATTCGAACCTTCGACAATTTGCTTTACAGTCCGTTGCCTTGCCTATGCGCCACTGTCACTCATGTTTCTCTGTTTTAGCTCCTCTCTCATTAGTAGGTGCACCGGTTTAGCTGGAGAAAAATGCCTCATAGCTCACCCCATGAAACCGCTTGGCAACTAGCGAAAGTAGTTCCGGATTGCCTTACCTAGAGTATTTCCTGGTATAGAGCTCATTTCAAAAGGCCACTTTGACCGATCATTCTTTGTCAGATCAAATCCAGACTATCAGCTTGTGCGAAAAATTATATCGCATCACATTCCACGCTGCGGAGTAGATACTAAAAGAGTAAGTGGGGCATCATTTGAAATGCAAAGCGTCTCTATAAGAGGACTTCCATATCTTCAAACTTTAATCTATTTGAAGTTCAAAGCGAAATTTATAAAAGTCTCGAATGCTCGAAAAGTTGGATCTCATCCATAGAATACTTAGGGACCTGCGATTTTAAAAATAAAATAGGAATAAAAATATTAGAAAAATTAACACGTGTGTATTATATCAGAATTTCACATGTACAGCTGATGAATTTTTTCCAAGGCTAGGATACGAGAAACAAAAAAGAGCGAAATACGAGAATTTTGCCTTTTTCGAGTTTTTGTGCTAAATTTGATATCCTCCAAACTAAAGCTTGTGAACTAAAATTCATGTGCTTCCAAAGGTTAATGTTATGAAATCAAAAGCAGCGTACGGGCCTAAATCTAGACCTGTGGGGATATCACGTGGAAAGTAATCTTGGGGCCCTAACAAAGACATTGCCTAAGCGGTAGCGCGCATATTTCAGTCGGGTGAGATGTTCGCCTCCAAATTGACCAAGATCGTATTAATGGACGACTTGCATCGTGCTTGCATCAGGACTCGGCATGAGGTGGCTTTTTCAATTTTTCAGAAACGAAGTCCCCATATATGTCACAAAAATACAACATCACCTTTGACGCGATTGTTAGTGGATCAAAACGAAAACGAAAAATAATGGAACATAAAAACAACATGAACAAATAAAAAGAACTAAAGATGTTTGTATTCTTTGAATTGGCGGCATGTGTGTTCGGCGCGCATCTTTGCGCACTTGGAGCAGGCTTGCCGCCGCTATACAAAATATTTAGAGGGCTGTAACTAGGCGAGGAACAGGGGGTTTAGGGTGATCTAAATACTTAGTCGGAGGATTTTCTATGTAGAACAAAGTTATGTCAAACATGTGAGAAAATCTTGTGAAGGAAGGGAAATTCATGACTTTTTTCACGCCACCTCAGGTGGTGCCCAGGTAGCTGGAAAGCCACCAATTCCAAAAAAAGTTTGCCATGCCTTCAGTTCACATAATTTTTTTTCATAATTTTTCGTCCTAGTAGTCCATAGTCCTGACTCCCTATCGCCCATCTACACACCAATTTTGGTGTCATTTGATTTTCTCTTCGCTAACCAAGTCTATTGTTTATTTCAGGGACAGGTTTGAATTCGCGCGCTTGATCGGCGAACCTGTTGAAGCAGGAAGTTTTGGGAATGGGATCGATAAGGCAGGAATAACAATTTTTGTCTTACATAGAAGATAAAAGCTGACATAAAGGGAGAAGGCGAGTGTGTGTGTAGGAGGGGGGGGGGGTAGGGTTTCCGCTTAAACGATATCCCCTTGCTTTTTGTTCCAAAACAATCCAGCTTGTCCCGTAAGCCACCTATGCCGAGCCCTGGCTCGCATGCTTTCGCGCGAGCACCCACGCGAAAATGATGTGTCGTGGTATGAAACCATGCGAACGTGAGGCAAATCGTCCGTTATACGATCCAGGGTCTAGTTTGGAGGCGAATATCCCAGCCGTGAATGCACCATCTGAGCTGCCGCTTGGGCATTGTTTTAGATAGGGCCCGAACGTATGTCCAAATCTGTCTGGACGCTGCCTCTAACTCTTTAGAAAAGCGTAGAGCTGCTTTGGCCAAATTATGCCAAATATTTCCTTGATTCGTAGCCTTGGAAAAATCACGAATCTGTGCATAAAAGTGTCTAGTTTGAAGATTGTATGCGTGAGCAAGCTGGGGGCCTGTTTTTTTTAAACAGAGACACGATTGTTTTTGATTTTTCAGGCATTCAAGGCCTTTCAAATCTTGCCTTCAACTTCAGATTCCGTGCAGATATGAGGAAGAATCCTTCTTGTAGACCTTGCTTTGGTCTAACGAATGATACTTATACACTTTTTTCGTGTTCGCACTTCTCAATGCCTGATAGCACATGATACGATATTATTATCAGACTACATATTACAAATACCCTGAAAATTAAAACGTTAGAGATTCTTTAAACCATATAAAATCACATACAAACTTGAAGAATTAAAAGCACTAGAACTTTCTGAATTTGAAAAGTGAATTTACACATGCTTTGGGGTTTTTCTAGATTCTAAATTCTCAAGGATAGGAACGCGGTGTAGAAACGTGATCACTCATATCATGATACAAATATTTCATTACCATTATCTCAATTGCAAGGTATATGTGAAAAAAAATCATTGATAATACTAGAGTAAGCGTTTGTACGTTTGAAAATCACGCCAAAATTCTTACTTTTTAACAGTGAAAACTACTGGTTCTCGAGCATGTTCAATTGTTCGTAATTCGAAAGAAATTTTGGGGTATTGATACGTATTTATCGTGCTTTTCTAGACCTACTTCATGTTGGGTAGAATCCGTAATAATTGCCAAGGATTTGCGCGGTCAAGGACTGGGAAGGAGACTCATGACTATGCTGGAAGATGCTGCACGAGATTTGGGATTTATCGAAGTATGCGCAGTTTGCCGATTGCGAAAGACTTGCCGATTGAAAAACTCCTCTAGATGTTTCTGTCAACGGAAGATAAAGTGGATTTCTATGAACGATGCGGCTACCTTAAATGCAAACCGATTTTGCATTCTACCACTGCAACGTCCGTTTTCCCCGTCATATCATTAGAGGTTGGTTCAGAAGCGATATTCCGATACATTGTAGCGCGATTCTCTGTTTTAGGCAACGGAAAGCTGCACTGAGATGGACAAAGAATCATCTTCTACCTATCTTGCTGATGACACAGATGTCTCAAAGATGCAAGCAGGGATCATAATGCCGCAGCCTTTGACAACTTCACAAGAGTTTCCAGCAGCAGTGACAGCAGCGCTGCCACCACCCCCGCCTCCTCCACCGCCATCATCAGCGAAAAGCATATGGAGTCAAAAAACGCTTGGGGCACCTGTAACCACACTTAACCATCAATACATGTGTAAAAAACTTTAGGTTCTATGAATATCTTTAATAATTTTCGATGTCTCTTCATATCTGCCTCATATAAAAAAGGTTAGTCATGCAGTGACTGAGTGTCCATTACTTTGTAACGATAGATAACGGCCTGAATAATTTGAGATGCGTGCGATCCAGACGCATTTATATCGTACCTTCTCTTCAAGAAAATTCACTTCACGTTCAACAGCTTCCCAGATTTTCTCGCGTTCTTGACACTCATTTCTCATTTTCTGCATCTGAGCTTCGATGGACTTGAGACGAGCCACCACATCAAGCAAACTCGCTAGGATATTCTGTAGAAATAGCTGTTAGAAACAAACACTTTCTGTTGAACAGAACGAATGTGGCACCAAAAGCAACCTTCTCCTTTTTAGGCTGAATTATCACATATGAGCTTATCTTTAGAAGCGTTAGCGAAAGCCTACCATTTGCTGCAATCTAAAGACTTAGAATGAGTTTATACATACTGCACAATCGCTTTAGATAACATCCTGAAACATGTCAGTCACCCTCATATTCGCACTAGTTGGACATAAAAACCTTACTTGATTGCCATCACTTCCTCGATATGAAATGAAAATGCAGATGCTTTTTGGCTTCTGTCGGTAGGATTTTGCGGTGCTCTTAACAGAGTCTTAGGCCTCGGGCAGAGTTCACGCGATTTGATCGTCGATTGATCGCGACAGGACAACAGTAACAATATCATTGCTGCCGATCTTCTTGCATTTCGCTTGTGATAGTTTTCAACGACTAATCGTAACCAACTATCACAACCGAAATACGAGAAGATCGGCAGCAATGATATTGTTACTGTTGTCTTGTAGCAATTGAATGGCGACCATCATATCGCGTAAACTCTGTCCGAGACCTAAAGGACACAGCGTGAGCGGGCTGTTTAATGACCGCTCAACTGTCCACTGAGCCCTCATTATCGTGCATTGTAAAATTTCACATCGCTGGCTTTCTATTCCAGTAGCCGCGAGAGCTGACATCATTGGCCCATTGGCTCCCTGTTTCTTCTGAAAAATTATGCAGCCGAATGAATTGTGTACAGGGCATTCTTAGCAAGGAACGGACCCTCAGTCGAAGTGGAATTTCTACACGTGATGCATATCATTCTACTGGTCTTGGGCACTAATACCAGATCCGTGTTCTTTAGCTGCTCAGTGTTCTTCTGGGGAAAGTCATGAGCTACGGCCCCATGATGACCACTGCACTTTATAAGTTCGGGGCACCAAGGAATGACAGGTGTGGAGATGGGCGGGTAGATAGATGCGGAGACCATAGCGTAGCTGGTGAAGAGTTTGCGTCCCCTATGGAGCCAAACTTTGCATTTTTGCAAATTGTATTTTGTGAATTCGCAGACGATTTTAGACGAGGATGTGCTTGCTCGAAAATTGTCTGCGAATTCACAGAATGCAATTCGCAAAAATGAGAGTTTGGCTTCATGGGGGGACGCGAACTCTTCACCAGCTGCGCCATAGTCTCCGCAGCTACCCACCCGCCCATCCGTTCACACCTGTACATTCCTTGGCGCCCCGAACTTACAAAAAGCAGTGGTCATTATGGGGAACCGTAGCTCATAACTTTTCCCAGAAGATCATTGAGCAGTTAAGGAACGCGGATCTGGTATTACTGATATGCATCACGTGTGGAAACCCCACTTCGACTGAGGGTCCGTCCTTGTAAGATGATTTTGAAGCCAGCTTTAGTCTGGGAGGAGAGAGGTGCAGGAGTTGATGAATTTTCTCTCAAACGTTGCTTTGCGAACGACATGACTACGAAATTGGAACTGGAAGGCACCCCATCACTGAAACGCTTTCATACATGTGTCTAGAACCTTAGATGAATATGAAGCACGATTTGACCTAAGAACACACACGATTATAAGAACAGCTTAAGCCGCCTTCGGGCTATTGACACAGATACGGAGCTTTTAGTCCAAGGTCTGGATCAACCGTTCTCCAGGCGCACTGTTACGCAACCGAAACCTGGGCCAGTACACAATCACGTCAAGAGCTTTGAGGAAGCCCGAAGTGCTAACGTTTTTTTAAGGTTTATCTCAACGCACCAAGATCTTCCCCGTGGAGGGATCTCAGCCGGTTGGTCGCGAGGCCGGTATGGCGTCCCCAGCAGAGGTGCGATAGTGGGAGCCGATTCTCCCCCTACCTTCACTTTTGAGCTGGTACCGGGTGACCACCTTCACTTTTGGAATAAAAATTTTTTTCGCTGGACGATAAAGAAGAAAAATAAGCAAAGCAGACGCAAAAAAGATTATTGAAAGCATATTTTTATGTATACGGCGGCACCAGTGACGTACCGAGGGGTGGGGGTGGGGGGGGGGGGGGGGGAGGGGGGCGCCCCTCCCCCTCCCCGAGAATGGGTCGCGAAATTTTTGAAAGTTACTTATATGGGTTATAAAAATGTGCAAGTAACTCGTTTATACTAGGTTGGCCCGAAAGTTCCTTCGCACCAAATTCAAAAATTCATAACTTTTGATTTTTCCAATCGATTTGATTGCTTTTGTTTTTGTATGAAAGAACAAGTCATGCACTTTATAACGACATCTTATTCGCTTGCTAATGTTCATCTGTTGCAAAGATAGGAGCGGTAGAAGAAAATTAGTCAAAAATCGAATTTTCTGTGTAGGGTCATAAAAACTCGGAAACTTGCAACAAAAATCGGAGCAGTCGGTATTGTAGGTTCTTTTACAAGCTCTTTCCAATAGTGCAAAGTTTGCGCCGATTGAACGTCTCTATGAAAAGTTATGATTTCCCTGAAAAATGCCAAAATAAATCAAATTCGCCCTTTTGTATTGCTTGCTCGAAAATCATAACTTTTCATAGAGACGTTCAATCGGCGCAAACTTTGCACTATTGGGAAGAGCTTGTAAAAGAACCTACGATATGACTGCTCCGATTTTTGTTGTAAGTTTCCGATTTTTTATGACCCTACACAGAAAATTCGATTTTTGACTAATTTTTTTTACCGCTCCTTCTTTGCAACAGATGAACTTTAGCAAGCGACTAGGTTGTCGTTATAAAGTGCATGACTTGTTCTTTCATACAAAAATAAAAGCAGTCAAATCGGTTGGAAAAATCAGAAGTTACGAATTTTTGAATTTGGTGCGAAAAACTTTCGGGCCAACCTAATAATTGTAAATAATTAAAATAATTTTTTAAAATTTTTAAAAATTCAATTTAGCTTTGTAAAAAAGATTTTTCGGGGGCGTGGCTGACGCCACGCCCCCTTTTCCAGATTTTAAGGGTTGGGGACTCGCAGAAATTTTGAGAAGCACCCCTAAAAATTTTTCGGAGTGCGTGGCTCACGCCACGCACCTTCATTCGAAAAAAATTTTTGTCGCGCCCCCCCCCCCCCGAGCGGAAATCCTGGGTACGCCACTGCTGTACAGGGATAAGTGGGAGCTTTACCATAGTGTTTTGACAGGGCCAGGGAGAGCTGGGTAAGCCAGCTATTGCAAATACGATATTTTCTAAAATTGTCTGTTATTTCTGTCGATTTTATCGATTTTTTGCAAAGTTTGTGCTACGGGGCTGGGACTTCGCACAAGGGCATAAGTGAGCATGCTATTATTAAAACAGCGGGAATAGGGAATTGCATGTAAAAGTGGGCACAGAGAAAGGCTGTACAGGGATAGGTGGGAGCTTTAACACAGTGTTTTGACAATGCCGGTCGGAGCCGTGTAAGCCAGCTAGTTAGCAAACATCGTATGCTATTCAACTTACCCACTATGGAGTCCCTCATTGTGCTAATTCGATCAAAATCTGTTTCAATATTTGGATAGTCGACATCTCTTGTTGTTGAAAACTTTCGAAGTTCGATTATTCGATGTTCTAATTTTCGAATATATTCGACTGTTCGATTATCCGAAAAAAATTTCGAATACTCCAAAGTACAGTAGACGGTGCCTTCAAAGGCTTTCTGGAGGTATCAAAAAATAACAGTGACTGGTAATATTGGTGCCAGGGCCCGGCACAGATCGTCTGGAAGCAGGCTGGACTTCGTTTTTGGAGCGAAAATCAAGGGAGGTATCGTTTTTGACGAGTCGGGGCCGAGCACCGAGAATAAGGCCATTTAGTCGAGCACAAGCTTTTCGGACAGGTTATCACACGATTGACATGCTCTATCGTGTGTGGCGAAAAGTGCGCGCGATTTGAAAGCAAGGCTTAAATGCTTGTTTACAGCGCACCTAGAAGCATATGACACCAAAATTGAACCACCAGACGATCTGAGATCGTCTGGAGCATATATTTTCGTCACTTCACATAAGTTTCGGATCTTTTTAGCATGGACGGATTCCCCGGTCAAAAACCTATCCCTGAGCATGAAGACATTTTCATATCATTGCTTTTCCTTTCTTTTTTGTCTTCATTTCTTCTCGCTTTGTTAAATATCGCGCTCTAATGTCAAAGTCTTGTGCATGCGTAGTATTCAGCTCCAATTTGGATTTTCACTCTTATCTTACGTCTTTTCTTTCAGACTAGTGAATCTTTCTTGTTTTCATCTTCTCCTAAACAGGTAGGTCAAAGGGGACTTCGTAAAACTTCCGGAAGTCAGGGGAGACTTCGTTTTCAGAAACCTTAGAAACCGACTCGTGCCGGGCCCTGATTGGCGCCCTGAGTCCTCGGGTGTCAATAAACGGTATATGGGTCACCGCCCTAGCAGCGGACGAGATTGCCCAGGCACAACATACTTAGAGTGTTGTTATTCTTTATTTATGATAAGGATTCTGTTATTTTCTAAGAATATAATCAGCAATCAGGGCCCGGCGGGGATGGCGCTTTCACAAGCTGGATATCGTTTTTGGCCCGAAAAAGCCACCCCAAAATACGACTTCCCCTTTGTTTACCGATAAACAATGCACATATCATTCTTTATTCATCATTCCTTGTTGATGCTACTGTCCTATGAACTTAGATTCCAGCAATGTGAAGATTCTGTGCTCCGATCGCTAGCCTGCCCGCAGGCGGGAA